GAAGTAGTTTTAAAGCTGCAGTAAAAGGGGTAAGAAGCCTTGGCCCCCTACTTTTTCTATTTTTCTAGCCTTGCCCCCACTTTCAAATTTATGGCGCGGGCCCTGCTTATTTGGTGTATAAATTGTTTGGCTGTAGTGGTTGTAGACATGCAATCATCATGGTTTAAAAGGTATGGTATGGACTTGCCCACGAAGAAGCGAAAACGATTTGCCAAAAAGACTCGGTTCTTTAACTTGTGTTTTAATCAATCGGAACAGGAAGATTATGTCCACTATAGGCACAAGCGTTAGATACAAAGTGACCTTTCTTGTGCAGTGAATCCAAGATGTGTTGGCTAAGCTATTGGCAATATCATATGTTAGGAGATTATTTGAGGGCTCCCAGCCCCCAAATGCTACGCCAAAAATTGAATCATGTTTTGTTACAAAATTAATGAGAATTTACGTTTTCTGGGCAAAGCTCCAAAGTCCAAAGGCGAGAGAAGATGGTACGAGCATTCTAAGAATTTGGGCTTGTAAAAAGATAATTTAATGTACAAACAGGTAGGAAAAATGGAAATCTCATTTGAATTGCATGCAATTTATTATAAATAATTGGAATAACAGGATTTTAGGAATAAAATTCTATTGGCTTGGAAGTTAAAATTGCCAAACTACATAGTACTTCACATTCACAATGTACTAAAAGTCCTGTTTCTGTTCTACTACCTCTCGACGTTTCCTCTTTCTCTCCCCAGACCTGAAAGAAATCACGTGACTAATCAGCCCATATCTCCAAAGAGCAAGAACAGTTATGGCGAATGGAGGCTGGTCTGCATTGAATTAACTTTCGATATTTTATTTCAAGCCCTGAAAATGCCAGATGGTAAGATGTGTCCCGACCAGTTTCGTGGATACTTGTTAAAGTGGACTAACTACATCAAAGGTTACCAAAAGCGATGGTTTGTTCTCTCGAATGGCCTTTTATCATATTACAGGTAGGAGTGAGTCTTTTATATGACTTTTGAAAACATTAGCCTACGGCCTATACATGGAAGAACCTCCTTTCATTAGAAAGCATTTATATTTATGATGTCTTCACTCTAAATGTTATTTACTTATGGTAGCAAATTTGAGTAAAATATGAAACTAAAGCTACGCAAGCATTTTGTTTGCCTGGCTGGGTCAGGTTTCTGCCTTATTGATTGGAAAGGATTAAGGGCTGGATTTGCAAGGAATAAAACACCAAATAATCATGCAGCTTGAAGATAAATCATGATAAAGCAAGACTTTATACCTTATTTTAGATACAACGCTGATTCATTAATTTTAACGATAACAATGAAGGCCACTGCCTACTCATTATTTTGAAAAAGATTTGACTTTCAGGTCAAGCTCCCCTCACCTAAGTAAAACTTAAAGCTCACTCACTGCCTGTGCCAAAATACTTTAAAGGATCGATGACTGGTGTTTCTAGTTATTTTTGAGCATTTTTAATTAAAGTTTACCACACTGCTCACACCCAACATGTTATGTTTGCATTTCGACAGGTTCAAAAAGAGATTTTTTTGGCCTATTTGTCATGATTTGGCCTGGCCCAGATAGAGCAAATACTTTTAAATTGTTCGTTTTTTATGTTTAAGTTATCAACATACACAAAGAAGTTGGTTTGTAGCAGTATCTTGCCTCTCATGTTGATTCAAGTAAGAATAGCCTGATTATGAGGCTGTTGCTGACCCCTGGAGATGCAGAATCACATTTTGAGCCAGACTGGAAACTTTGTCGCGCGCCCACGATATATTGCCTGTGCACTCAAATTTTCCATCCGCACACTTTTGCATTTTGGCCGTGCAAAGTTGCTATTTGAATTCATTTCACATTAATAACAATACAATTTTCTTAAAAGTGCGTGGTTTCAGGCACGCAGTCAGGCATGTGAACTTGCCCGCGCAAGCAACAAAGTTTCCAGTCTGGATTTTGAGGCCATTGTAGGCCTAAAATGATTTTATTTCGAAAAAAAGGCCAATGTCTACACAAATCAAATAGATTAGATTCAAGCTGGGGCAAATTGTTTTTAAAGATACACCCGCAACTCCTGCCGCCTCCCTTGTCTAATGTTTATGTCTGTCTTAAAGTTTAAAGGATACAGAGCTGGCTGACTCCAAGTGTTTGTGATATGAAAATAAGTGGTGTGAAGGAATTTCCATGTCTTGATTACTTTGTGCCTGGGATGACATAGCTTACTGAACAGAAACCAAGGAAATAGATGAAAAAACTGTTCTTATTCTTCCATAAAGATGTTAAATTTTATTAGTTAATAAATTTCCAAGAAGTAATTATGAAATTCTTTTGCAATCATTAGAAAAATTTGCAGTTGTTCATCCAACATCACTGACTTGCTTATTAATGATAGTGGATATCATAGCAGATATTAGAAAAAACCTTGCCATTTGATCAGGTATACCCTTCGCAATAACATAGCAACTGCAGAAGACATAGCTTCTTTGTGCCACCTTTGTAAACCCAGTATAGGATAGCATAGTTTCAAAATCTTTGATTAGCTGGCTGAGCAACCTAAATTCTCCATACCCCATTAGCCAATCAGAATTCAAGAATATGACAACAAATGTGTCTCGCAGCTAGATTCAAGCCTTTTTTTGACGTTTTTACCACTACCCACAAAAAACAGTTGGTAGAATGTGCTGAAAGATAAACTAATTTTTTTTTTTAAAAACTGAGTTTTCGATTAATTTATGAAAAAACTGCTGTTTTACTCAGTCAAAATTCTTCTGCGATTGTTAGTTACCCGATCAAAGAAAAGGTAAGAAAGTGAAATGTTCACAGGAAAGTAATTTTTCATAAATGATGAGAAAGATGGGCTGCATTTTTTCTCAGTGGAATTTAGCGATTTTTTCCATCGGTAACACAAGCATTAATGCCGACAAGAAAATATTTTAATATTGGCTTGTAAAAGTAATTAAGTGGATAAAACAACTTTAAGGACTAAAAACTGTAATTTTTATGTTTTCCCTCCCTCCTAATTACTATAAGGGTTTGAAAGGGACAGTTTCAAGCTTTCTTATTTGTTAATTAAGTGGATAAAACAACTTTTAAGGACTAAAAACTGTAATTTTTATGCTTTCCCTCCCCCCTAATTATTATAAGCGTTTGAAAGGGACAGTTTCAAGCCTATGTAACTAACGATCGCAGAAGAATTTTTACTGATGGCAGTTTTTTCATACAACATCAATTTTTTCATAAATTTATCAAAGATTCATTTTTTTTAAAAAAATTAGGTTATTTTTCAACACATTTTAAACGTTTATTTTTTTTGTGGGTAGTGGCAAAAAGGTCCAAAATAGGCCTGAATCTAGCTGCAAGACCTGTTTGTTGTCATATTCTTGAATTCTGATTGGCTAATTGGCTAATGATTGGCTAATTGATTGGCAAAGATTTGGAACCCATGCTGTATAGGGTTACTTATTAAACACCTTGGAGAATAATGTCTTTAAATTTGACAAATTCGACTTCCCACTGCTTTAGAAATATATTTCAGGCCCTGGACAATTTTAGCATGTGTGCAGCCTTGCATGTGCATTTGCACACCCCATATTATAAAGACTACTTTGTGGTCAGTAATTCAAAAAAAATTATATCTTCAGATACAGCTCAAGTCTCATTCAAACTGAATGGAACTGGGAATTTTTTTTAAAATGCAAGGATTCAGGTTTCCTTTTTGAGCTGCCAAACGCCAATGGCTGGCACAGAACTTACTTAAAAGACATTTTTTTAATTCCACAACAAACAGTCATAATCTGATATTAGATTAAAGAAGCATTTGATCAAATATTAAAAGGTAGAAGCTAATTATATTTGAGCTGCTTTAGAACATTTAATGAAATCTATTGCATCACAGATTTGGCAAAAGTTAATAGAATATAAAATGGGATCTTTCAAGTTGGCCTTAAGATTCATTCTTCTTTGAGTATTAGCAAAATGCTCCCATAGAAAGCAAGTCTTTTTAAAAAATAAAGAAGGCTTTCATTTAGACTGCTACGTGATCATGTTCAGCTTTTTAAAATCACTATTAAGCAATGCAAAAATTATTAAATTGCATATGACTTTCATTTTTAACGACCAAATGAATGTTGTTTTGCATTGGCTATAATATCATAAGCCTTAGCAAATCCTAAAAATTAGCTTTCTCCATTGTATGAAGCAAGCTGTTTATATTGAAATGTTTGAGTTATGCCATGCGGAACAAGCCATTGCTCTCAGTGTTTTGTAAATTAGATCTATGTTTGAATTAGCTATTGTCTGCTTCACAGCTGTCTGCTGGTAATTTATGCTACAAGTAGATTACTTGCTGCCAGCTACATTAATACTGAATTTTCTATGTAATTTCTGTGATTGGCTGCTGTATAAGCTAATGTGTGTGGACTCTTTTGAAAATTTTCATAGAGGTGTGGTCAACATTGAATTTCTGTTGAAAATGGGATAAAACTGTGGTTTTGTCTGTTGCTCTGATTCATTGATTCATTCATTTGTAGAACCAAATTTTTTTTCAACTTATCCAAATGCTTTCCTTAAACAGTCACCATGCAAATGTCTGTAAGTTTGTTTTCAAAAGATTTCCCAAAGAATTTCAGTATTTTCGTTTTCTGCAAACAGGCTGTGTAACTCCTAAGGAGCTAGTAATCAATTTAATGGGATAGCCATCACTTAATCATTAACCCACTTATCAGAAGTTTGATTCAGTTTTACTTTGTTACATACTAGGAGCCCTGTGGAGATGAATCATGCATGCAGAGGGACCATAAACCTTGCAGGTGCTATTATAGATACCATTGACTCCTGCAGTTTTGTTATCTCTAATGCTGGAAGTCAGGTCTACCATCTAAGAGCTGGCTCAGAAGTTGAGCGTCAAAGATGGGTAACTGCACTGGAGCTCGCAAAGCATAAAGCTATAAAGATGCTACAGTCAGGTATGTAAATCTCTATGCTATGTTGTGATCAAAGGTTGTAATTTTTTACAAAATTTTTTTAATCTCAGAAAGTCAAAATTTAGTCAAGAGGGTTCCTGTCAGCCTTCTTACCATCTTCAAAAATAATACCTGACCACTGGACAAAGAGTGTTGATATTTTCTTTCATCAACAAGCTGCTCTCAAGCAGCACATCTAATCATTTGGAATCTAACCATTTTTTCATTTGTTGTTTTTCCTCAAGTTCATTTAAATTTTTAATGAGCCAGGGAAAATGACTGTTGGTGTTACATTTACAACTAGATGAAGTATGCTTTTAGGCATAAACCGTGATATTGTAACGAATAAATCATTCCCTGTGCAAGAGTTGGTCAATTAATTTATTGTGCCCATAGCAGATCATATATCAGCTCTTAGGTTTAAATTACTCTACTCTGACGATGGATGAGAGAAAGATGGTTAATTTTAAGCAGGAATTAGTTCATATTTTATTGGTCAACTGCTGCTTGTCTCAACATGATGCATCAGTGCACCACTTCAATTATCCTTTTTGTTTGAAAGATACCTAAAAACTTTTTTACTTTCAATTTTGATTAAGGATCAGAGTTTTGGTCTACATGTAAATTTTCTGTCATCATATTTTTCGGTGCTACAGTAACTGACATTTGTCTTATGAAACAGTGAGATCTGGATGTCATTTATTAGCAATAAAACCGCCACCAACCGTTGTTATCTATCTATCTATGTATTATTTACTTCTTGTTATGTGACGAAGTTTTCACTCCTGCTTCAGTTTTACAGCTGTTTCTATTTTGCTTGTGATAGCATAATCAATCGCTTCCTACTTCTTTATAACTAGAAGAAGAACAGAGCACCTTCCTTGTAGATGCAACAAACTTGTTGTTAAATTACAGTTTGAGTCGTCAAAATCAATTTGACAATTTATATGCAGTCTTCTTCTTGATATGCAGTTTTCTTCTTGTTAACGGACAGTTTAAGCCTGTCTTGAAACATGCTAAAAGGTTTTTGGTACCGCAAGATATTTGAAGGTGGCAAGATATTGCGTTAACATAGCGTACAGAAGCACTCTTTGGATTATTCAATAGAATAAAACCACATTTTCCGCGAGCCACGGCGTATTGAATTAACCAAAACGCCCAAGTTAAATGTGATTTGACAATTTGTCAACTTTTGCTCACAAATCCAGAGTGTGCCAAAACATATAGTGACGACGATTTCAGAATCATTGGGCAGGCAAGGTCATCTTTTCATCTAGAAGTTTTGGAATCTGTTTACATCAATAAAAAGGATCCCGACCTATGTAGACAGAAAGAGTTCGTTTTCTCTCTTGGACTCTTGAACTAGGTGAGATGTTAGCGGTCGATGATTGGTACAAAAACAGAGAACCAATCAAACGCACCTTTCTTCATCTCATGTTACTTTCGATCCACACCTGGAGATTTATAATTTTTCTGTTTACTTTCTGTCATTATCCGACGTGTTTACTTTGAATTGTCGGACGAAAAGTGCTTCATTGTGCTGTGTTTCTGCTATTTCGTTCCATCTTCAAACACTGATAGGGTGGTATCGCCAGTAGCAATCCACATACAAGCATTTACAAGCATGTTATGTATTGCGAGTGTTCAGTGCATGGCTGATTGATTTTCCAAATGCTTGATCGGGAACACAACGTGTCTACCCAATATCGTTCAATACGCATCACCTGTCGTCAACACTGGCCGTTACAGCGCTAGCTTGCATGTAAGACTTTGCTATTTTGTTTAGAACGGGTAACTTAATAATCCAGATCGTTGCAGCATAATATGTTTACTTGATTCCCGACTCAGTAAACAGCAGACCAGTGACTTTAGCTAGTCATGGTTAAAGAGTTTCTTACCGTTGGGATGCTATTTTTTGCCAATTTAGAAGTATTGGAATAATGCATCGTGCTCGCAAATGTTACATGTGTTGCATGATGTTCACAGTTGATGTTCATAAGCAGCCGGTTACGATACGCGACAAACAGGAATTCTGTTACAGTCGATTCAGCAGAAGGATCATTCATATTCGCTTCGAAATTGCTGCAAGTTTTTTGACAGTGTTGAATCGCTGATTTCAGGCCAGTTTTACGTAGCCAAGAGACCCTTTAATCAGGTCATCGGATTGCTTTCTTTCATATCGATCTCAGCGTCCAAGATTTTTAGCAGTCGACTGGCGAGCAAATTCTCTTCATGGTGATGACCTTTGAGAACTAAACGACTGGAGTTCAAATACCAAACTGAAAATGCGCATAAAATTCAAACGATTAACGCGTTTGCTGGTGCGCCGATCTCTAAAGATCTTGGGTAAGAGGAAAATTGATCCACGTTTTTTGCAGCTTTTGAAATTGTTAACATGGAAATTCCTGCTTGTTTGCCGCTGTGTAGCGTATTTGATCATGATTTGAGAAGTGATCAAGTACAAGCCAGGACGAATAGAGCTAGGTCAAACCAAATGAGGTCACAGTACAGAGTCTGATGATTCGAACTTTCATAAGACGTCAAATTTTCCTTCCAGTATCGAATATTTGACAATCAAATGTTAGCCTAATGATATACAAAAAGCCCAATTTAAAATTTTATCGAACAATTGAACTTTTTTGTTTTTAATCGTTAGGATTTTCTCAAAAAAGCAACAGCAAGTATCTTATTGAAGTGCTTGCAAATTCAATTGAAATTTTTTAGCATGAAAAGCTTATTGGCAAGTTTTCATGCCGCCAGTTAGTTAACTAACCCCATGTGAACTTGAATTTGCTGAAATTTCTCTTAAGCATCTAACAAAGCTCAAAGTTTCTCAAAATCCTAAAAATATTCTAAATTTTTCTGGCCTAAAATGATATTAGCTGCCAACACAGAAAAGTAATTCTGATGTTTAAACATTTTTAGACCTAGATTGTTTTGTCTAGTTGGAACTGTTTGGTCTTACGGAAAATCTCTCTCGGCAACGCAGCTGTTCAATCGTTGTGCATGCGGCAGACAACTCTTTAAACATTATAAATGCTGTTTCAGGTCATTTATTTTCCAGAGTAGATTTTCGATGTAAAATGAAGTGTAAGAAGTGTGTTATAAGTAATTATTTATTTTTAACAGTTTGGTAGAGACTATGTCTAAGTTAACTGTTACAAACTTTCGCCACCTATAAACTTTAAAGCGAAGTTACAGATTTTGCTCTTGCTGTGACCTTTGTGGAGCAGAACTAACATCCGGTAACTTACCCAGACTCATAAAGGCGAGGCGTAAAAATAGGTTCTTGATCTTATACAATAGCAATTATAATCATTTAAAAGAAAGTTTCAAAAACAGTAAGAAAGGTTTTTGCAAACCGTCGAAAAGCTGCGTGAACAGGCGAATCTATAATCTTTGCATAGGTGAGTTTTGGAAGTGGATAGTCCAGGGGACCTTTCCCAACAGTTAAATATGGATGGATGATATCCACATAAAAGAGTTATCAACACTGGACTGGTAGGAGCAGAGTTGCCAGTTTTCTGCGCTGTTTTTAGCAAAAAGTAGTTAAACCAGCTGCAAAATATGTTAATTTGCACATATGACTGTTTGGTCGTGCAAACTTTGCTCACTGGAACTTGATGTTTTCCACCATTTTCGTCTGCGTAATCTTGACAATGAAATTGCTATACTGTCGTTTATTCTTAGAACTTTAATTTTTCAGCAAACGACGACAGCGATAGTGAGACTGACAATGAAGATGACCTGACGGCAAAGTCGCTTTCGAGCAAGCTGGAGGACCTAATAACATGTAATAATCTTGTTAACAATCATGGCGCATCATTACAGAGATCGGTCGGTGATTTAGTGGACAAGGAAACTCGCTCGTCCACCGAATCGGTAGATAGCAGAAGTGGTAAGGATATGCAAGACGTTAGCGGCAAATTGAAGAATATTAATGAGAAATCACAGCTGTTCAGAATTACCTCCAATGCTATGATTAATGTGAGTACTAATGCCTGGCTTCAAATAATGCTTCACATGGTTTTCTTTTGCAATATCTAAACCTTTGAGAATGTTGATGTTTACAATTCAGGCAGGGCTTCCATTTTCCGCAGGTAATGCCTAACGCTTAAACAATCCCCTTGTACCGTAAAACATGAAGGACTGGATGTACTTGGTTATTCAGATGTATGCTTTTTTTATTTTCATACCTCATGACCAAATAATAAACTCGTGGCATTGCACGGCTTGGCAAGTCCCACAGCTAGCCACCCATGAAACTGGAAGCGGGGAAAGATTATTTTCAGCAATTTAAGCTGTAGGCACTTGTTACGACATTGAATCGTAGTTTTAGTGATGAAGTTCAGGTATCTATTTTTATATGAGGGGCGATACCTTTGGTAGCCCTTTACCGTGCTTTCTTTGTTAGGCCTGTTCAGCTGCTAGATATATATTTGGTCATACTAGACTAGTTATGTACTAGGTTTTGAATAGAGGTGGTTTTCAACATGAAACTTGGCTTAAATTTAGATGCATCATTTTATGGTAAATTTCTCCACAAGTTTTTGAGGCATTGTTTCTTGCTCAAAATCTTTTTTAAAGCAATCTATTTGCTATTTTCTGAAGTATATAGAAAGACGATCCCTTCATCAGTTTGTATAAATCGTCTCCTTTGTTAACTTTTGCTTTGCGCGGTTGTCTTTTATCGAGGGAAAAGATAATGTTTTTGCGACGAACTGTTTCATCGCTTTTAGTGACGAAAAAAGCCGTCAAATCTGTTTTATCGTGTTACTGCCAAAGTTCTTGAAACTCTGTTTGGTGAGTAAACAAAAAGCTAATCAATACTATACTGTATAACTACAGTACGCGGTTTCGCCTTTGTGTGCGATTAAGTCACAAGAAATACAGATTGATATATAAACCCATTGTTCGGTTAAAGTTTGAGCTTAGTCTAGCCTTCCCGTTCTAAACGATGGCTTTTGAACTGATTTACAGGCTTGCAGTGATTTTCTGGCCCTTGCACAGGCCTATGAAAAGAAGTTCCAGAAACTGTTAAATCTAGAGCGACAAAGAAGACAACGGCTAGAGGAAACAGTCGAGACCCTGGCAAAGCAACATAACAAGCTGGAGCTAGTTTGCAAGAATGTGGACATCCGCAGCAAATCGTTATCAGTCGTAAACTTACATCCAAACAACTCGGCAGTGTCCCGAAGCCCCGGTGGGACGATCGAGTATGACGAAGAAGATGAAGACGACCACGATGAGTTTTTTGATGCAATGTCCGAGCATCCGGAGGCGTTTGGCATGGATCGTGGTGAAAAGGCAAGGAAAGACTCGTACGAAGAACAAGGGGGTAATGATCCGTACTCGGATATTGACGATTCCAGTGACACTTTATCAATAAACTCAGCTGTAGCCTTTCCCAGCGAAAATGCAGAGGAGTTTAAGAAGCCTACTGAAAATAAATCACAGATAAGACGATCGATTTCTGAGAGAAATTTGGAGGGGGTTGATCATCAAGAACTTGGACACAGAAGGGCAATTTCATACGACCTTAGAGGCCAAATGCCGGTAAGTGGACACTTTTCTGGTATTTGTTGATAATTCTGCTAAAAATAAACAGTATATAATTTCAATTAAGTCAGTGTAGCCGGAAAGATCTTAACTTGCCGACAAATTCTTTTGTAGAATATTTTCTCAGTTGTTTTGAAAATAAATTTGTTCGATACGTAAAGTAAACTCAAAAGAAGTCAAAAGAAGAAATAAGTTCGTGCTCCACTTTTTTATTTTTGATGATATTTCATGGAGTTTTTCGAATCATATTTCAATCAGTATCGTTTATTTTTGTGCAAGGTTTGTTGATGTCAAAGTTTTTCACGTTTGGTTCGAAAATATTTTTATACCGATCCAGTTTCAGTTTAGGCTCGACGCATTGAAGACAACAAACCATCGCACTTTATTTCTACATTATCGAGCTTATCCTGCAAGTTCTTAGTTACAAATAAGTTCATGGCCTGATTGTCTTCATGATTTATTAGAGGTAGAAGGCTTCGGTTGATTTTTGTCTGATCTTCATTGGCGGTCTGATGAATTAGTCTAGTGGGATGTATTTTTGAAGATGCCACGTTGGGACCTTTTTACACACCAAAATTTCATTGTCTTCGTTTAATCCTTATCCATAATGCTTAGTTTTCTGGTTCTTATGATTAATAATCTTTAACTCGAATCTTTAACTGAACTGTCGCACATTTGACACCAAGCATCAAGAAATATATAATGGCAGATTGGCTAGCAGGTTTTTTTGCTAGAGTCACCCGTCCTTTTTCTGGCTTAGTTTTTAGGTTTCTTAGGTATCCTTATCGTCTCATAATTAATCATCTCTTAACTGAATTAACCGCCGATTCTTAAAGAATATGTCGAAAGGCCTCTTTGAGATACAGGATTAGCGCATTAATCACTAGAGATAATAAACTAGTCGAAATTCAGACTGTCATTAACTAAAATATACCCCTACATCTGCTTTGCTTTGCCCTTGGCAAACAAGTCTCACAAATTACAAATTGGTTTAACATTTTTTAATCATATTTGAGAGTGTAGCACTTCTGCTTCTTGTGAAAGGTGCCATCCAGGATGGGGGATTTGTATGCCTTCCATTTTTTCCGTTTTAACACGTTTAAGATATTTTTGGTTTAACGATGTGATGGGTGACCTAAAGAACAGCGAGTCAAGCAAAAGAGGGACTGGCATGATGTGTGCCAAGTGCCATTGAGGGACATACAAGTCATCCTGCTCCAACATATCGTAGCGTAAGAATTTCGCAGGACCCATAAATAGATATTACTGTCGATCTTTATTTGTGGGTGCAGATGTTGCAATGATAATTAGAGAAAGAGTTTTTAAGAGAAAAAGGTTTTCGGCTTTTATGTCCATGGCAGATGGAGCGCTTGGGTCCGGACACGCCTCTCTGATAAAGATATGAATTTTTTATGAAGCGGTTTATTGAGACAGGGTCAAAGACAGTTTGTTTTTGAAGTTATTTTTCTTTCAGTGATAAATAGGCTTTGTGTATGATGCTACCTATAAAGCAACGGGCCCTATGGAGGCTCTCTGAATCCCTATATCATTTCTATACATCCCTATAGCAAATTTTTTGCTACTTCCTGACAGGTGAACCATCGTAGTAGAAACAAGAATTCTGTTTACGCCATTGATATAGAGACTCTTTCATTACTTGTTGATGCAACCTCGGTCAGTAACCTTCAAATCATGAAATGCATTTTGATGATAATATAATTCTGGATTTTTTATTTGTGTATTTGGTTTCTAGTTATGAATAGATTCTCTGGATATTTCCAAATTCAGAGTCAAGCTATAACTCCAGTCATTTGATAACTGCCTTGAATTCCAAGATCCACTTTATAAGCCACGTCTACGTTAATCTGATTTTGTTCTTGGAGAATGAGGTCTTTAATGAAGAAGAGGCAATAATACATTTCTCGATTTGTAGACATCATTACATTCCTTCCTTCTTTATTCGTTGTCAGGTTGCAAACTTTTCAATACATCCCTTGATTTTTCTCTTTCAGCAATTTTCTGTAAATTGACATGCAAAGGCATTTTCTAACATTTAAGGGAAGACTTTCAATATTAAGCACGTTCATTCTGTTCGAAAAGCAAATATTTTTAAAGCGTTACTGGTTTATGTTCGAAGAATGAAATTATCTCTAGAATGAGTTGAATGGTATCTATTAACAGTGGTGGCGCCAGGGGAGGGCTAGGGGGGGCTACAGCCCCTCCGTCGGAAGCATCTAGCCCCCCCATCGGAGGAAATTTTAGGTTTTTGTCGGAGCAAATTTGACAAAATAACGTTCGTTAGTTAGTATCGTTCGCAGAGAGTGGTCCATGTGTCTCGGTTTTCTTTTGGTCCATAATATCTTTTGGCGGGTTTCTGGGCGGTTCAATATCAAGGCCCTTTTTGTGTGTAAAAAGTTGTTCCTGTGTGCAACTGGGGAGCATCTCATTTTACGAATTGTTCTTCTTTGTCAGTTAACACGATGCTTTTGTTGTTTTGATTTTTATGGATGGAATATGAGTTTAGATTTTTTATTTTTTCTTTTGATTCGATTTGTTTGAAAACTACATTTAACAAGTATCCCAGGTTTTTTGTTTAGTTTGATCAAATTTTATGGAACAGATCTTCAAATATCAGGTATCCTATTCTATCTTGTTGTCTTCTTTCCGTCATGCTCCCATGAAATGACGTCACACAAAGCGGCTCATCATATAGAATAGCCCGACTGAACGTTTCTTAGCTCGTTATTTCCAGTGTATAACGAAAAGGATTAGGTTTTATTACTGTACACTGTGACGAAAATCTTGAACTTTTGGATAAATAACTATTAAACTGTCTTAACTCGTAAACTGGTTGAATGCTTACCTGCTTGCTAATCCATATTAACCTTTTGCAACGATAATCCATAACTTAAGTCATTGCTTGCTGCATTGAATTCTCTTGGTAATTTTCTGACGGTTTCTTGCCAGCCTTGTGTTTTTACAAAATCTATTAATTTACATTATTCATAACGTTTAACGATTCTCACAAAATGACGTCTATTCTTCCAGCTCGGTTACCTGTTGTAAGATTTGTTGCAATAACCCTCCTGTTAATCGGTGAATGGACCACCTAACGAGATCTATTCTATTATCCACCACGACTTAATAGTTCGTATCCTAGCTATAGAACTATAGAGTCATCCAAATACAATTTTAGAAGAGCGTTGGACGGTTTTCCTATCCACGGTAAAAGTAGAAGCTTCACAGTGTTTGGTCATGGAACAAACATTTGTGTTAGTTGATGTTTAAGTACCGTCTCATAAAGGCTTTTTTACATGAAGAATTTTGTTTTTCAAGAGGTAAATCAGGGATGATTCAAATTGTGAGTATGACCTTGGACTTTGCTGTCAGATTGGGTCAGTTTATGGTCACGATGATCCAGTATAAAACAAAACTTATCAAATCGTTATTATTTGCACTTGTACTTGTATTCGTGTTTGTGTTGGTATTTGTTTCTACCTAGCATCCGAAGGTTGCTTTAAGGACTCTGAGAAGCAATACCTATCAAGCAGTATCCTGGTCCTTCCTCTCGCTTCCCCTAGCTTTGAGTGAAAGTTTGGTCATGTGAGGGACTTGAGTCCCAGACCCTTGGATCTGTCGTCCTCGACCTTAACCACTGAGCCATCCTTGCACCATCGTTATTATGTTTATATTGTCCACGATGTGTCATAATCTCTGTCTTAAGGAGGTTTAAGAAACTATAGTTATTGTGCATAGGAAGATGTCACAAATATTTTGAATGGAGTCATTTTGAATGTTTAAACCTTCACGTTTGCCTAGCTCTATTCTAGAAAAGATTTCCTGTAACAAGCGAAATATGTTTTTGAATAGCCTCCTATATGTGACGAATTGTTCCAAGATAAAAGCACGTTTTTAATAAACATCACAAGCATTTTGCATTAGAAAAATTTCTTGAATTCTGCCACTAACAAATCATTTCTGAAATCTTTGGATAATATGGTGATAATTTTCTCTGGAGTAAGTTTGTTCATCTGTAGATGACTAAGGATCGTTTGGTCAAAGTCACTTCTGGATCACATGGTTTGCTCAAACACTGCTGATCATTCGCATATCTTTTTGTCATAACGTTATTTTATTAAAAACACTTTATACGTTAGGCAAATCTGGGTATCCTAACTCTGTAATGTTCCACGTGATCAAAGACTCCGGTGCAAACTGGACAGAGTATGCCAATTATTCTTTCTAAAATATTGTGATTCAAAAGCGTTAGACTTGAAAGTTGACGGTTAAGTTAAGCTTTTCTGAGTATGGTAGACAGAAGAACAAGTGAGTCTAGAAATTCAGCTCAATGGATTTGATTTGATGGAGCTGGGTTTGCTGATAGTTGCTAAAATGCAATAATGAAATTTTTAATACTCCGGAATATGACGAGTTGTGTTTCATCATCAAGAAAATTCTCTCTTTTGCAGATTGACCCATTAGCATATATGGAGCGGCGTTTTTATAGATTTGTCTCATGAAAAATTCATAGGGCCCACAACAAGTTCACATTTGCAATTAAAATATTATCCATTATCCCAAAGAAAGTAGCAACTATTATGAACACCTGTTGTTTTTTTACCGGTAAATAGGGCGATATAAATCATTATTTTAACGTATCAATAGACTGCATTTTCTACTGTTATTGTGCCGCGATGCTTTTATCTTTAGAGAATCTGCAGACGAGCACTTGTATAATTGATGTACCCGTGCGCGAAGTTTCCGGGCTGTTATTGATAAAACTTGGTACTCTCTCTACTATATGTAGCCTTTCTTCATTGAAAATGCTTCTGTTCAATTGCCCTTGCATTTTTATGGTGTTGGAGTGTTGGCGAGTTTGCAACCTGCAAGTTTATGAATTTTACAGAAATGAAGTGGATGAAAGTCTGCAACAAAGTCTTCCTTTTGAGATGAAGATCTGCAGTCAGTGACTTAATGCCGCTATGATTGGCAGAAATGTTGTTGTTGTATAATTTGTGGCCGATAAATGTCACTCCTAACTTGATTTTAGTTGCTTACCAAATTGTTGGTCAGTGGTGCAACGTGTTTTATCAAGCGACTCCTGAAATGCATTGTTGATGAGAAGTATTTGCTATTTGAGTGGTGGATATGTTTTGCAGAACGCGATGAGAGATTTTTTCATCGTTTGATCGCAGCTTATATTCATGGCCGTTTCGGGCGATGTCCACATTTGTTGTATCAGACGATAGCTTGATGACGTAGTCTGGGATACGAGGAACGTAAAAGACATGACTTTTGCATCGAAGAAATATCTTATTGCTTGCAAAGACGTATAGTTTAGGCATTAGTAAATTGTTGCTGATAAACCTGAATATGAATTGCTGGCTAAGGTCGTTGCAGTTTTCCACTCACTTCAAAGAATGGTGAGATTGTTTTCTCAGAATAAAATGAAGCTTTCATTAAGTACACTGAGCCACAAATACACTGAAACGGAAACCAATTTACTGCACACTGTGACTGCTTTTCAATACACAGGTAGGGACAAGAATCTTTAGAGTAATCTCAACTGAATAGTCTCAATATTTTTGCAGAACCTTGTACCGTCAGCGACTGACATGTCAAAGAAAGTCAAACGTGTCTACCGGACTAGAATTTTGGAGAAGCCTGATGTTAGTATTAACTTGTGGAGCATTATGAAAAATTGTATTGGGAAAGAGCTTACGAAAATACCGATGCCAGTAAGTTTCATTTTCATCTTATATCTTATTTCTTCCTGGCTTTGCTCGATCCTTAAACGGGTGTTAAAATTCAAATCTGAGCAGTTATACTGCGATCACTTGGCTCGAACCGTTTGGTTTCAAACCTTCTTACCTAAGAATGCAATTGCTATTTTTCCTCAGCTGATTTTTCGTACATTTTTATCAAGAAGACTTGTTTTACTCAAAACATTTGCTCCAAAAGATCACCGCTCGTTGTATTCAAGTTTTTTGTCTTTAATCAGTAAATGAACTCATTAGACGATGACAGAGAACCTACAGCCAAGTCTTATTTCGCACCTTATATACTTTTGATGCCTGAAAAAACTCTTTGTTTGTAAATATTTGTAATGTGGATGCTGTACATTTGCTAGATACTTTTAGATACTTTTATTGTCGATTTTGTTACAAAGCAGTTTGTCCTTTCAGTGATGTAGAAAGCATTTAGTGAACTTGAAGAATAAAGGCAATACTTCAGTTAATAATTGATAACAGGAATGGCATGTAGCAATCCAGAAAGCTTATTGTTTTGTTTGACAAAGAAATCTGAAGCTTAGCAAGCCTTGTGGTCTTACTACGTCATTTAAATATCTTTAGTTGACTGTTAATACTATTTCTCGTTTACAGGTTAATTTTAACGAACCACTTTCAATGACACAAAGGTTAACTGAGGAATTAGAATATTCGGATATACTGGACCGGGCAGCTTCGTGTGAATCGTCACTTGAGCAGATCTGTAATCTGGCTGCATTTACTATTTCTTGTTATGCTTCAACAGCAGATAGAACTGGCAAACCGTTCAATCCACTATTAGGCGAAACCTACGAGTCAGATAGATCTGAAGATATGGGATGGAGGTCATTGGCAGAACAGGTCAGTGATTACCCTGCTGGGTCATTCTGTGTCGGGACAGAGGGCGTAAGCTGATTGTACACTGAGCTAAGGGGCACTAGCAGTTAGAAACCCTTCCGAATTTGCTTAAGAAGCTCGCCATATTAGAGAATCGTGCTTCTGCTCATAATTATCCATACCAAATCTACCTTTTCTCTCTACTTCTGTCCTTGTACATCGTTATTAAAAGTCTCTTTCACCGCAAAGTTCATCTTCTCTTGTCTTCCACTCAAGGAGAAACCTTGGTGACCATTTTTAATAGGTTTTAAGCATCTTACTTAGTCTTTTCCAAGCTTGAGAAGCAGAAAGTCAGAGAGGTGTTTTTTTATTTAAAAGTTATTTGTGAACGAGGTACTGCTAAAATACGAGCATCAGCTCCAGCTATACTTTTTAAAACAAATCTACTTTTAATACAGCGTCACTTCGATTGAAAATTTTTCTGGCCTTTTTTACATTGTGTACATAGCTATGTCATCCTTTTTCTAGATAATTGTCTAAAATAGATTATATTCGTCAGCGATTGCTCTCAGAGATTGCTCTAAAGTAACTCACAGCTCCTAGGTCAACGCTTCGTCTGCATGACAAATACTAATACTGTGTTCTGACAGTGGCTTTGATTGTGTAACTCGCGTTTGAATCATGCTATTACTGAAGCAGACGGTCTGTTAATTATCGTTCAAGTAAAGCAAATCTTGTTACGAATATGCGGTCCTCACAGCATAGCGAATAATGGACGCGAGTTAGTTGGTTGTAGAGACAATATGGCGATATGGTTGTATATTCTCGATATGTCACTAATTGCTTCCGAACTTTCCCTCATCCGCCAGTTCAATGTTGATTTCCATTCTATCGAATTCACGCATCTTTGGAGTATGTCAATGTTGTTTCTTTGTTAACAAATCTCAGAATTTTGTATCTTTGGCCATAATTGAAATTTTTACATATTTTTTAAAGGAAAACAGGGAAAATTTTTTCAATTAGATGTTACACTCTGGTTCCCACGCATAAATTCCTGAGAACTAATGACCAAGCTCGATCTTAGTGAATTTGCCAATTCTGAGATGAGAAATTCGTCTGGTATTATTTTGCTTGTTCTTCTAGCCTGCTTCCGTGGTTAGGCTCTGGACGATATTAGAAACATCTTATTTGTTATGAGCACTCTGTTCAATAAAGCAAAATGCTCTCGCATTTTCACTTGACTAGGCCAGACACTTCTCGAGCGGTGTCGAGAGGTTTTCACATTAAGTCAAGTGATTGTGAAAGACGCTTTTGCTTGTTTGATAAATCAAGCTACTCGATTTTCATGTTACTTTGTTTTTACGCAAAGCCTATAAAAGGCAATCTCAGAATTTCTATGACAGCAAGAAAACATTGTTTCGTTTTGCGCCGAAAAGTTGAACTGGCAAAGTTGCCTGATGAAATACAGACTCTTTTCATCAAACGCGCTAAGTAGTTCTCATTTTATGGGTGTGGGAGATTGTAGAAAGGCGGTGCAAAAATAAATCTAAGAGAGCAGCTTGATTTTGCTTTGATTTTGGTGGCAAAAGGCGGGAAACTGTGGGACACTTTCACGGTACGCACGCGCTCGGTCTTAGCAAACAGAACCGAAACGGCAAATTTCAAGTTTAATTGAACTGATCGATTATTCTTATTTTGCTCTCAGGTCAGCCATCACCCCCCGTCAATAGCTCATCATGCAGAAGGAAGAGGATGGACTTTGTGGCAGAATTTCACAATGAGTAGCAAGTTCAGGGGGAAATACCTACTTGTTTCTCCGCTCGGTACAGCTCATTGTAAATTTACCAATTCTGGAAATCATTATACTTGGAAAAAGGTTACGACTACTGTAAACAATATAATTGTTGGCAAACTGTGGATAGATCAGTCAGGAGAAATGGATATTACAAATCATACGACTGGCGAAAAATGTCATCTAAAATACCACGCATACAGTTACTTTTCAAAGGAGAAGCCGAAAAGGGTCAGTGTTATCATCTTTACGGATTAAAATTTAAACATGAATGGTTTACTTCAATAATAACTGTCTTAATTTGCAGTGTCAATGTTGAGTTAGAAAACGGTTAACCTTTATGGTGAAAAACAAGGTTTTTTGTGGTGTGAATGAAATTTAGATTTTTCAAGGATCTCCTCAGAAAAAGAAACAAATATTCAGCGGTGTTTCTTATTGGGGCCTTGGAGAACAGATTTACTTTGACTTATATCTGCTACTTGCTCTTTTAGATTTGCTTTTGAAGCTTACGAGCCAGTTTCCAACCATTGTTTCGCCTAACCTATAATCTCTTCTTTTCATCGTTGTTGCTTTGTTTTTGTTTAATAAGTTCTCCAATTCTAACCTAGGTTACGGGTTACGTTGTTGACAGTCAGAAAGTAACTCGTTACGTAATTTCTGGAATCTGGGATCAGAAAGCAGAATGCGCAAAAGTCGTCTATAGAGACCCGATGTTAAAGCCTGGAGCCAAAATACCACAGGGAAACCCTGTTAGCAAAGCTGGCAACCCCCAGACCCTTCCACCAACTATGCTCTGGGTCAAGAAACCTCTTAAGTATGTTCCCCTTTTTTACTTATTACTGTCATATGCTTATATTATATATCTTATGTCACGCTAGGTATTTTTAAAAATTTAGGGGTTTGGAATCGTATACCCCATTAGGATAGGAGCTGGGAAGCATCAGTTCCCGATTTGTCTAAGCGCCAATATAAGGCAAGTTTCGGATGTGTATCAGTTTCCTGTTTTTGCCAACTTGCCACTTTCATTTTAACTTGCCGTTTCAGTTATGCAGAGGCCTGTTACTCCATGGCATTGGTTGTTATATGTTATATATGAAAGTGTAATGTCTTGATATTAGGATATTCACATATTCACATAGAAAATTATTGGCACTGTTGTTATCATTCATTACTAAGTACAAGAAATAGCAGCAAATAAATGCTGGGTTTCCTGAAAGGAGGCGGTAATTCCACTAAAAATGTGGGCATCATTTTCCAAACTTACGAGACTTGAAACAGAAGTAACTGGAGAAGCGAAATAGATGTCTGCGAAACGAAATGCACAACAAATATTCCCTGTGCTGTTACAGTTGCTCATAAAACAAGTTGTCTGATTTGCCTAGATTCGTTTTGGTGTTTGCATTTTTTAAATATGTTCAATTGGTTTACAATTTGCTTCGTTTTTTAGAGGTATTGGGACTAGCTTTTAACAATTGGATTTGTATCGTTTATTGAGTAATCAACAATTGAAATATAAGTTGATGAATTATTGCTCTATACTCAACATGTAGATTCTAAGAAATTATTTGCTATTTAATACATCTTCTTTTCTATTGTAGGCCTGAGGCTTCCTTGATGTATAACTTCTCAGGATTTACTTGTTCGTTGAATGAAATGGAAGATGGAATTGCACCAACGGATTCTCGTTTGCGACCGGATGAAAGGATGATGGAGGATGGAAATTTTGACAAAGCCAATCAACTTAAATTGCAATTAGAAGAAAAACAAAGAGTAAGGAGACGGAAAAGAGAGGCCGAAGCAGAGGCAGCTAGACGTGCAGGTAAAGTTTATGAGGAATACACTCCTACCTGGTTTGAAAATACAAGAGACGATTTTTCAGATAGTGAAATTTTTGTTTATAAAGGAGGGTATTGGGAAGCAAAGGAGAAAAAAGATTGGGATGTGTGTCCGGTCATCTACGAACTTTGAAATTCTAATGGTATTTTTGTAGGCTGTTAGTAGGCCCTTTCGTTCCTTCACATCTAATTCAAGTATCCTTCGTCCTGCTTCGTTGTTAATCACTACTTAGTCAACTTAAATTCTTTACTTAGGTAAAAACGATATCACCTTCTCATTGCCTTAGATTCTGAATTGCAGAGCATATTACTTTAATTAGCGTTCTTGTACAGAGAGACATAAGGGTTACCTGATGTTGTGAGAAAATGTCATTGGCCAGTTTTGTGTACATCATATCTGTGTACACCTAACAATGGGTTTTATTCTGATGAAATGCCGTGATAAAATATATTGGTCTTGCGATCTTTAGGAACTGTATATCTAAACTGCATTTAATTTTTAAAAATACATAGGCATTTTCATATTTTGCACACATGCAAAAGCCATATGCAAAGTATATATTACTGTTTGAAAATTGCTTCGACAGTCTCCATGATTTTTACAATTAGTTAAATAAGTTATAATGGAAAGGAAGAATATTTGTAAAAACAGTTGCTTTGTCTTCTTCCGTATAGGCAACTTATGAAAGGTGAGGAAGGAGAAATTTGTAGAGTTCTTTTAAACATTTTCTAATTGTTCCATCTTGAAAAGGAATTTGTTTTTATCTTGTTGATTAGGTTTCAAATGTTAATTACATTTGACAATAGCATGTGTGAGGGATCTTGATGTAGAATCAATATTAAAGTTGTTGTGGTCTCGTTGTAAACAAATTGATTTAATGCCTTTTAACCTTGTGTGCAACCGAAAGAAGATGATAACATGCCTGCATGTGGAAAAACACTCAAAAGATACATTTGTCACTACCTTCGTAGCAGGGGTTAGATTTGCAACACCCCTACATGTTTTGGAGACCGACAGCTGCACTGGTGCTCTTGTACTTGGACGGGATTCCAGGAATAGAGCCATAGTAGACGAAGCATTTCCAGACAAGTTAGTTAATGGTGTTTTATTATGGTATTTTTTTCTGCGCAAACCATACATAGAAGAAAATTACATCATCATCAGATATGAATCTAACCTATTTATTCCTCGCAGTGGGTAGGGCTATGGCCTCAGGGGGTCAGAACGAGATCTAATTGCCAATAGTGACATTCCTAAAAATTGTATAAACTCAAACATCACAGGCGTGCAACAAATTTAAATTATCTGTTTGTGGAAAAGCAATTCACATACAAGGGCGTATGTTCAAATTGTGCTACCAGTTACCGAGAAACATTCAGGCATCCATAATGAAACCTTTTCACAGACTGGCCAACTATAGGCGTGTTACTAATCATCTTTTTTCTCTAGTATGCTTATTCTCAGTTTACGATGGTATCTGAATTCAACAAAATATTATTTCCATCAATAGTGGCAATCACTCGACTGCTTCAAAATGATAATAATGTTATGCTTCTGTTTAATAACGTAGTAATTATTATTGTATGTACTGAATGTAATGATTTGCATGCAATTCCATCCAATGGCTTGGTTTTCACTGTTTTCTCCCAGTCTTCTTCAGGTATTTATCAGGTAGTATTATTTGTCTGAAGCTGCTCTTCTCCGTTGACGAAATTTTTGCAATGTGAGCGTCTCTTCACAGGTTGATTTTAGAACAATTAAGAAATGTTCTTCAACAAGATTTCATAGAAAATTTATTATCTAAACGCCAAGCATCACCTAAAATACTTGTCCCATAACAAAGAGAGGAGAAGCTTGTCCCATAACAAAGAGAGGAGAAGCTTGTCCCATAACAAAGGTGTCAAAGCTTGTTGAATCAAAGAGACGAATATTAGCAAAACCATGGCTCTCTATCAACCAAAATCATTTGTGCCATTATAGGAACCAAAGTCGCTTTGGATAAAGAGGTTTTAGTTTGTGGCTTTTGAACTTTAGTTTTGTGGCTTTGAACTTTTGAACTCGGGACCTGTTCCTTGGCTGCCTTCCTTTCTTCAGTGTCCTGTATATACAGTGTACTTTAATAAAAATTACTGTTTATCGGCGGGATCATAAAGTGCTCGAGACAGTATAGGCAGAGCTGTACATGGTAGTTGCCTGATGGTCGCATTAAGCGTGAGACTTGGAGTAGCAACTTAGCACCGTCCTTTTCTAGACACCAAATAGCGTACTATGTTCTTTAAATGGGCTAAAAAAAGCAAGAAAGTAAACAAGGAATAAACAAATTTTTCAAACATAGCCTATTGGTACGAAGTAGTATGGATCATAAAATGGATCAAGATGGCAACAGTGAAATATGATCCCAATTGCAATTCGTTCGTGTATTCACCTTATTCAGAATAACAAAATGGCAACACTTACTTCTCATTCTTATTCCATTTCTAACAAGCCTCTAATTTTTCATGTTGGGGAGAAAAAACACTACAAATTGACGCAGCAAGCAAACACAAATGAATTATCTCCGCCTTCCAAATGGCAGTGATGACTTTCACGTCTGCAGACGGCCAAACGCTAACTTGGAAGCCATTCCTCGTAACATCTCTATCTCTCTTTTACTGCGCCATTTTTAAGGTTAGCAACTGATGTTCCTGACGAAGAGTTAGTTGATCTGGCGTTTGCATAAAGTGCAATACACCGGTGTTTTTGCTTCTTATAAATTAAAGGGAGTTCTTATCTGCAAATAAGGTTGTGCATTGAAACTTATATATCATAAGAGAGGAATCATTTCCTTAAAAATTAAACAACAGGAGTTCAGAATATTCAAGTACAAGGTAACTATGTTAAGTAACCACACATGTATACAGGGTAATAAAGTTTTTGAGAATGGAGGGGAGCACTTACTTTGTTACTTCTTTCATTTAAACTTGGGCAAACGATTCAAAGCTCCTCTTGGTTTGCAGATGGGGTGGCAAGGCAAGCCCAAGCTAACACGTGCCTCAAACGACCACCCTTGAATTACCATTAACATCTTCTAGATTTGTTGCATATTAACTTTGCTTTAATTGTTTTACATTTTGTTTCATAAAACTTCCAGTTTTCAAAATCATGTTCCATCTTATTTGCAGAATGACAAAAGAAAGAGGCATTTTTGTGGCTAAAATTCTAAATCATCTTTTTGAAAGATGTTTTACATACATCACAATAATTATTGAAAATAAAAAATGCTGGCCTTATATTTTTCAAAGAGAATAAATACCGAAGCAAAACCACTGTTACGAATACACTCTGTGTTTGTTAAAAATTCGCTTACAGATTGAACTTCGTTTTCAGAGCTAGTAGCTGCTGGAGAGAGATTCCTTGTCCTCCACAGACTATGATGACCACTGTTTTCACATCATCGAGTTTTTTCTGCTCTTGTAACTTTTTAATTGAATTTGCATAAACTGAGGCAAGAGCGGCACCACATGCTGGCTGAACAAGGAACTTGTGATCATCTAGAGAACAATTGTATCAATAAATTCAGGATGCAACTGAAAGATAACTCTGTTATACTATCAATTTTTAACAAAGAAAGCTCTTAAAAAGAGACAAAACTTAGAAAATTTAATATGTTATTATAAGGTGAAGCATGAAAAGAAATTAGTTTATCATGTTTTTGAGGAATGGTTGGATCAAGACAGACATTTCTCCAAGCTTTCTAATGAAAGAGCAGTTCTTACCTAGAAATCGCAGACAAGCATTTACTGCCTCCACATCTTCAATTACATGACTTATAATTTTGTGTCTAAATGTCCAGTGAAATGAGGTTTCACACACAGTAACAGCTCCAAGGCACATGGCAACACTAAAATTTAAAACTTTGTATATTGACGATGAAAGAGTCAGTGGTCATGAGACAAAATAAGAGACAAAGAGAGCATATTCAACTCAATTATTTAGCAGAAACTGACACAAACTTTGATGTCTTTTAAGCATGTTTAATTATATGATGTATGAATTTTGTACATTATGTACAGCAAGTACATGAACAATGAGTAACTTCCCTTGATGACTATGATTGACATGTTTTAAAAAAATTTCTTTTTACATATTCTTATTCTGAATATAATGTTCTCACCTTGTTATACCTGGTAGTGTGACTATCTTCCCAGCATTTACTGATGCAGCAAAACTATCTGCACCAATGGTTTCCATGGCCAAGAGTGGTACATGTGACCAACCAGCTTCATGCATACCTTCAAGGACACCATTCATGAGGCCCCCTCCACCAACTGACAAAACCACTAAATCTGGTGTAGTATTGAGTTGCTCCTTCACTTCGTCAATCATGGTTTTATGACCCTCCCTGCAAAAGGGTAAGTGGGCAAACTACAGATTTTCTGTTATTTGTTACTAGTGGATAAGATCATGAATTTATTCAATTTATTGTTTCCTTAATTGTTTAACCAAGATTTAAAATATTCACAAGCATTCTTTAGGTATTAAAGAAAAACATTTTTTTCTGTTTCCACTATCTAATTTTCTACAAAACCATAGGAAATCAATGCAACCTGTTGAAAGTGGAGATTTTGAAAATGAATTTCTTAAAAAGCTCGAATTTTAGAAGTTTAAAAAAACAACGAAAATTATAATGTTTTAAATAAATTTGCCATAACACAGCAATCACAGAAGAAAAGTGTCAACTGCACAAAAAACTGATTTGCAAACAATGTTTTTATATTGTTTCTTGCTTAGCATATAAGCGTCTTGTTGAAGTATGCTTTAAGGAAAGTTTTTAGAAACAACAATGTTACAAAAAAAATAACCTTACATGGATACATTAAAAGAACTAATTACATACCATACTTCAGGCTCATCAAAAGGGTGGATCAGTGTGCCATCTAGAAAAAATTTGTTGAAAAAGTTCTTTCTTACAGTTATTTTAGATACATTTCATATGACAAAGGAATACCACTTATTTTTACCAAGGAATCAAGATAAATTTCAAAAACTACTCAAGTATCATAAATAAAATAAAATATGATTCTGATGGGACTAGCTGAGAGTGAGACATAGGAAGATCAAAAAGGAAATGGAATTATATCCGGAGCATTAGCAAAATATAAAAATATACATGTGAATATATTTATTAAACTTACTCTCAACCTTGCCAGTAGAAATTATTTCTTTTGCAAATTCATTAGCTTCATCCCAAAACTATAATTTTGAAAATAACAAGAAACTGTCAGTCAACACCATATCCACTAAAATACATATCTTTCTCTTATAAATTAAATGAAAATAATCAAGTAATAAAAAGTTTGCAATAAAACACTGAACACACAATATCAGAAATTTCTATACATCTTCATAGCAACATGTTTTCAAGCAAAGAGTCTATCACCTTCCCATGGACTAAAACATTGGCTTCCTCATCCTTTATTCGACTAATTGCTTCCTTTGAAGTTGTTTCTGGGACCACAATTGTTACTGGTACTCTTAGACATCGACCAACATAGGCCACAGCCATCCCAGCATTTCCACCTTCAAAAAAAAGAAAGCTTTTTGTAAGTAAACTTTTCAAACACAAAGACTCAGTCCTCAGGGCTCAGTCCTGAGGATTGTTAAAATCCAGATAAAATTTTTGAGCTCACCCCCACCCAACCCCCCACACCCCACCCCCACCCCCCATTAAAAGCAAGAACATGTTTTGTTGGACAATTCTTTCCTGGCAACCCTTCATTAAGCTAAACATTTTGTGTGAAAAAGCAATTTCCTATCAGTTTTTTCCCTGTTGGTGAATAGAGAGAATGGTTTCATATACACAACAGAGAACCTTACTGCAAATATAGTTGTTGTCATAGGTATGGCTTCTAGAAGTTGTCTACAACATAATCCCCTTCCCAAAATTTTAGGGCAGCACCCCTGACTATCAAAGTATCAAAAAAAAGGATAAATGGTAAGGTGCTTTTTGCCTTACACATAACTTCAAATACCATACCTGATGAGCAAACCAAGTGCTTGCATCCTCTTTTGATTGCCTATAAACAATAACAAAAAATATATCATATTGTGTTATGTATCTAAGCTAGTTAGCACAGTGGTCAATGCTGGAAAGCAGAAAAAAGTTAATGAAAATTTGAATAGATAGAAACTGCATAATTTTCAATAAATCAGTTTGCAGAATCCAATTAAGGATAATAGTCATTTGCATGCCCACACCGGAGATATTATTGCTGGTCCCATTGCTATCGTTATTGCTGATCCCATTGCCATTACACCCAGAGATATTCTGTGGAGCCACAGAACCTGGATACTAGGCTAAGTATAACTGTATAAAATATTTTAGGTTTGGCTTCTAATCAGCTTGTGGCAACCAAGTTCATCTTAGAAATATTGATATCTTTTATAATGATCTCATTGCTTAAATGTATTTGTAGAAAGGCCAACTATCAGTCTTCTTATTATGCATTTTTAACCATTCTTCATCTTTGCTAGCAATTTATAATTCAAACAGCAACAAGAAACTGAAAATTTCCACTATCACTTTTACAGAACGAAAAATAAACCTGCTATTTGCTGCTATAAAATGTAAAATGTCTTTAATATAATAATAGTTGTGTTATTTTTATCGCTAAATTAAATGTAATCATGCAAATACCATGTACATTAATTCCTACTGGTACATGTAGCACAGGGATTTTTTTGCATTCTTGGCAGTTGTAACACTTTTTAAGTTAAGGATAGTTACTTATCAAAGTTAACACTACATAGTCAGCCTATAACGTGCTCGTCTAAATCAACAACTACCTATGCTTCTTTCAAGACTGCTTGTGTTTCTATTAACATCATTCAATGGTGAGCTTGATAAAATGCTTTAGTGAAATGTTTGAAGAATTTTAACATGTTACAGCATTATGTAGGACACCTTTGTTTGATGTAATTGTGCCTGCTAAGTTGTTTTATCAGAAAATAATGGAAAGAAAAACGTTTTGTCCACATAATACCTGTACATTGTATAAATGTATTGTAATTTGTTCTGGGAATGTTATTGTTTTATGTTTAGTCATTATGGGTGGAAGCTATCTTATGATACCTCATATGCAGTGGAATACAAAATATATAAATGAAAAAGAACATAAATTAACTGGATATGATCATATCTTCAGCCTTCCTTTCACCTGATATAACTGCATTCATTCGCTAAGTACAGTGATTGAAATGGCTTACCTTGTTTACTAAGTATCGAAACCATACTTCTGACTTAACAACATAGATATCTACCTACCTTGACACAATGATGTCCAAGACCTCTTAACTTAAAAGATCCTGAAGGCTGTGTATTTTCTAACTTTAAATAAACTTTAAAACCAGATAATTTTGAAAGCGGCACACTTTCAATAAGGGGCGTCCTAACGTGGAGTTGCTCCATTTTGTTTTTAAGCCTCGAATCAGAAAAGAGGCTGTAAAAATATGAAATATGGCGACGTGCAGCGAGACGTAAGGATTGTATTGCTATGTTTATATTGGTCTTTCTACAAATATTTTTGTGGTTCCTGGTTTTGCAGTATTTAATTTATTAAGCTAAGACATTTTAACATCAGCATACAACTTGTAATACACATTTGAAGCACCGAATTAATTCAGTAATGAAGAATAACATACCAAAATAATGCCTTTATGCTTGCCCCTGAAATTTTTAAAAAAAGAAATTTCTTTGATTGCAATTTGGGGTGTATTGAAGCGTGTTGCATTTGTTGTTAATATTTGCATCAAAGCCCACACACCCACCAAAAAGTGGTGGGACATCGCAGTTATCCTGCCCTCGAACCAGGCTGTGCAATGTACTTTGGCCAAAAGATCTGCGGCGTACACCCAGGTTTTTTTTGGGTTCAGCATGCAAACCAATAAAAAATTTTTTGACGTACTTAAGATTTTAGTTAGTTGACATGCTAAACATGAAGCCATGTACATAGTTAACGTAAAATAAAGACTCATACACCACAGTTTTATCTAATAATCAGTTTTCTTTGTCTGGCGCAATAATGTTTACAGTTTCACTAACTGCGTTTATATTTTTGACATACCTGACATAATCTGAAGTGCTAGCTGGGAATTAGATAAATTGACTTTTAGACATTTTGCCTATTACTTTAGAGGTTCCAATTTGCATCCATATTCATTCATGTGTAGTGACCATTGTCTAGTATCTGTAATGATTTCCTCCATTTTATCACTGTCATTCACATCTTCTCCATATTGACTGTAATGTATTCAATCACACATTAATTCCCCCATTGTTTGTGTATAACTCTAGTTTTATATTTTGTCAATAAAAACACCAAGTTGCAACAGTGACACAGCAGCATCTCTTACTGGCTGCAATAAGGACACAAAACAATAAGAAAGCTGAAACAGAAGTTGCGAATCACTTCACATTGGTCACTATTTGAAGGAATATAGGAAGATAAGAGATAATTAAGCACATAAGCACAATAAAAAGAAGGAAGTTACGATATATCTGAAGGGGACAAAATAGCTAATTAAGCTTACTTTTTCCCTATTATTATCAGGGGCGAAACTTCACTATTTTCATTAGGGGGGTATGAAGCTTAGTTGCCCGACGAAAGGGCGTGGCATGCTTGATGAAAGGGCGTGTCCTACATGAACTTCATTTTTAGAGCACATCGCCTCAAGGGCTGAAATCATCGGGAAGCCCGAGAAAGGGTCTTTAGACTTAGGCTGTTTGTTTTAAGTCAAAAAATATGCCTCTAGTTTTTCTGGTGTTGGCTATAAACATTTGTTTCCGAAAAGCAAGCATTTGTAAGGCCTGTCTTTTCTATAAAAGGAAAAAAGTCTTCACTTTCTAAATCACCTAGCTTTTAAGAGAGCAATTCAAAAAAGAGATTGAAGTAGGGTCTCAATTTTATCAAAGTGGAACACCAAAACACAGCTTGGGAATTTCGGAATTTAGAAACAGCTACGCAGATTACAATGTTTCAACAAAAAAGAGCTTCAGTTGCATTCTCTGAGTTTCATTTTCAATTTTCGGTTGCTCCGGAAGCAATTTCAATATTTTTAGACACCCAAGCACAAAGTACGTATATTTAAATTCACCATAACAAAATCCCTCAAGCAAAGAAAAGTTTTTTATTGGAGGTATTTTACAGGTATACCTATCATCAAAGCTCAGTTTTCATGTTTTCGTAATCATGGATATTGTTCAGAAATAGAATAAACTCGAAAGATTTTTTATTTCATATCTTAACTACAATTTCTTGATAAATTTTATATTATTTCCCGCTTGAACTGATTAAAACTTCCTGTTACTTGTTATGGTTATTCAAATTTTTTTAGTTAAAAAACTTTGGCGTCTGTATGATCATTTTCTAGCGAAGGGTGCAATACTTTCGACCCGTAAGTGTAAAACCTTAAGAGAATTTTGGAGCATAACTCCTTATGGATATGTATTGTTGTAAAGGAGCAGCACGCGGTTAATCCTTCACTCTTTCCTAGACCTCGAAGTTGCATTAGTCATTTGTTCACGCCACGTTGTAATGAAAAGGTGTTCACGTTGGATCTTGTTCATTGTAAATAGTGTTATTATGTTCCTGTTGATGTTACGAAAAGTTTAAAAACCCAAATGATGTCTTCTTCAAATGTCCTGACCTAAATCTCTAAAACATGTATGATTTCATGATTGAAAGCTTCATACATTTGGAAAAGAAAATATCGATTGATTTTCTCAATAACGTATTCCGAGATGGTATATCCTCCATGCTTTGATTTATGATGCTTCTAAAACTGTCAGTGTTCTATAGGCTCAGAGGCAGGATGGAACGTTGGAGGGGGGGGGGGGCTTTTCAAGGGAAAATTTAGAAATCACAACAAAAGATTTTGAAAAAAGCTCACTTGTTTTGCTAAAAGTAGGGGGGAGGGGTATGCACAGTATTCATTTCCTTCTCGCATCAAACACACTTTACTTTCCGTCTATACTTTTGCTGTCGATCAATACTTCAGACTTCATCTCGAGGCGAAGATAAATGTGCGTGTCGAGCTCGAGACGAAAGCGCTGATCGGTGGACGGACGAAAGACAGGAATGTATATATGTTGCTGTTCCTTGCCTCGTTTCTGTTTTGCTTTCCCAACTGGGAGGAGATTGAAAAAAAAGATGGGGGAAAAGACCATGAATTAAAAAACCAACCTAGGGCAAAAAGTAGCAATAAAAGTGCGACCTAAAGAAAATTTCCAGATTTGCCCGACAGATACACTGGCAGCCATAAATTTTCCCGACAAAATCTGCTTTTTTGAAGATTGGGGGGGTGCAGCACCCCCCATACCCCCCCAGTAGTTTCGCCCCTGATTATTATATATGCTCGCTTTGTGTGGTCAGTGTCATTTGCTTCAGTCACAAGGTATTAACAATTTGTTAACAATTTCGACTACAACTTCTATGATTTTTTTCAAAACCTGCTGAACAATATTCCATAAAGTTTTCTTTTATCCTAGAGCCATCAAAAGCCTGTTTATTTTAAGGCTCTTGTGCAACTGGCATGCTTTGTGATTATGACTACAAAGACAGGCTTAATATTGTACTACATAAAAATACAAAATGCAGTTAATTTTCTCAAGACAACTGCTGCCAAGCATGCAGGTTGCACAAGAGCCTTTGATCAATTGTATCGAAAAGTTTGATCAATTGTATCGAAATAACTCTTTATTTACCAAATCAATTAAGGGAGAAACATTATTCGATAAGATGGCATTCAAAGCTTGAATATTCAAAAGCCTTGAGAATTAAGATTGACATGTGTAAAATAGTATCAATTGGAAGAATATCAAGCCTATACAATATATCATTTTGACAAGAACATTGGATGATTATTTTGAATTGTAAAACATTTTTAATTTTGCAGTTTACTTGACGATGAAATTGCAGTTTTGCAGTCAATTTATCTGCCAGATGAACTAGAAGTAAATACTTCAGATGGAGGGTAGGTTTATTGTCTGCTTACAAATCTCAGGAAAGCCAGCAGATTTCACTTTCATTTACCTTTGTGACAAAAAGTTAGTCTTGCAAATCTATTGAAATATTTTACGTAAAGTTGGATGAGGGCATTTAGAAAAGCCCAGGCTCCACATGGCTTAGTGTAATAACCTTTCTTCAAATTCTCTGATTTGGTTACAGAAAATATATTGTTACAGTTTATTTTCTGTTACTCATACTTTTAAATTATATTTTTGATTGATATTATTTGATTTTGCATTTTTTTAATCACATTTCTTAGCACACCCAAAATGTGTAAGCCTGTCATTTACCACACACCTGCAAATATTTTCTCCCTAAGGCCTGCAGTCATTAGATTTTTTGCAAATGTATTGGTGTAAAGCCAATTTTCGAACTGTTGTGAACCTTTGCTTAGATATTGTATACCCTAAGTTAAATTTTTTTTGCAGATTGCATGAAATTAAGGTATTGCTTCACCCCTACACTGCTGACAATGATGATGAGAGATATGTTTGCATGCAGCTGGTTATCAGACTTGATAAAAGGGTATTTCAAAATTTCCAAATAATATGTTTGACAGCCCATTATTATTAAGAGTTTTAGTCTACAACAAAATGCAAATACCAAACACAGTGAATTTTCAGGTCTTGGCTTGTATATGTTTAAGTAGGCCAGATTGCTGTTTTTCATTTTCAAGGAAACAAAATCTAAGTTAGAGCCTGTTTACATGAAGTGGCCTAGCGTATGAGCATAACGTATAATTAAACGGTCAGAAAGGGAATCTAATTGTTATTTTCCATTGTTGAGGAAAACTGATATTCAATACTTTGGCTCCAGAAACTAAAAAGCCTCATTTACAATTTTCAAGTAAGAGGCCACACATCCTCGTATAAACACTTGCGAATACAATCTCACCTGCATAAACTAGCCTACTTCATGTAAACAGGCCCTTAGTTTAATTATGTTTTGTGAAAATTTCAGATTTCATTTTTTGTCAAATATGTCACCAGTTAATGTTGCCACCTCAAAAGTAAACTTTTGAAAAAATGAATTTTATAATAAAATTTAAATATATATTAATGATTCTACCTAGTATCCACAGTCAAAGCCCAAGTTTGAAATTAAAATGCCAAGAGGAATTTCAGATGCCCAACTTGAGAGGTATGTTATTGGCATTATAACCTTGTTATAAAAAAGTGTAGAATATTTCTCCTAATTTTTATTTGAAATTTAAGAATATTTGAAATTGTGCTAAAACTTTAAAGCTCCTAAAGAATATTTCAGTTTCTTCTTAATTGAAAAGATTTTGACTGAAATGAGCAAGATTGGTTTTTGACATCGCTTGCAGCCAATATATATGGTCGCTAATTGTCTTAATGTTGGCTGTTTTTTCCTGTTCTTTTTTAGTATATTAACAAACCTCAACAGTTTGGCTTCAAAAAGAATTGGTGAAGAGATGATGTTTGTGTTGATAGAGGTAAGTTGAGAATAAATTTTTCAATAGCAAGACTTGTGGCCAGGGACGCCTGCCCAAGATTAAGGCAGGAAGGACAGTGAGTGCCAATAGTATAATTTTTTCCACTACCATAATCGATCATTTGTGAGGGGTTGGAAATTACAAAAATAAAATATTTGCATGGATCTGTTCCACCCATACAGCTGAGATCTTTGCAATCAAAGGTTCTAAACATAGCCAAATTGTTGACAAAGTTCTTCTTGCAAGTGGGTATTAAATGCCCTTGTCATTCTTCTTTATAAATTTTCGGTATAAACTTTTGGTTTTACGAAAACCATGGCAATTATAAATGGGCTGGCTGTAAGACTTTGATTGTCTGCTTAGGCTCAATACTCCATGGTTGCAGAATCATTGAGAATGCAAAAGGAAAAGAATAATCAGACGAATCAAATGTACATTAAATAAATGTTACTTCACCGTATTTTTATATTAAAGCATGAAATAAGCGTAACATCCTCGTTCTGACAGTGGGCAAAATAGTCAATATCTTATAAGACACCATTGGTTTTTTTAGTTTATTATCGTCCTCAGAAAAAAAGGTTCGTTATCAAAGACAGCAAGAAAGGAAGATTCACCAATTATCTACAAGATTCTATAATCTTTTCTTAGGAGTGACTATTTAAGGGCACTGCTTATCCCCTCTGCCCCTACAGGAAGAGGGTAGGAGGGGCAGCTGTCCCAACAGCCCCTCCAGGATAGGTGTCCCTGCTTGTGGAAATAAAGAAAGGACAGGTAACCATTAGAAAAAATGATCTGTTGTAGGATTAGAAACATTATCTGAGCATATATTCTATTATTTGAAGACAACCTACAAACTATCATTTTTTACGCAAACTATCACAAAATTTGTATATGATTGAGCTCTTGCTCTAAAACAGCTGAGCTAACTTTTGATATTTGTGTCAGATTTTGTTGAATTAAAAGTTTTGTAGTTCTTTCTATTCTACATCATAAGGAGTAGTTGCTAAAAAAAGATAGTTATGATTAGAAAACGTGCTAGGAATCGTTTTTTAGATGTATTCTTATTGCAAAACATTTTCAGTCTATATCTTGATAACATTTAGGCTTTAAATTTGTTCCAGTATGCCAAAGAATGTCTGACAAATAACAACAGACCAGAGTGCCCATGTCCTATTTGCCTAGATCTGTTTGAGGTTTGTTATTATTTTCATCATTAGTAGCAAATATTTATTGGCTTCTGATATATGAAATTGTTAAACAGCTTCTTTAAAAGATGTCAAACTTGCTGGTTTTGTATTTAGGTTTTTAAAATGCTCAAATACGAATAAAGTTTGAATTTTTAATTGTAAGGATCGCGTCTTGGATTTCAGAGTGGAGGGGCCATCGAGTAGAAAACTTTTTGTTGTCCGATATCAACAAATTGTCATGCTGAAAAGTTCGGATCCATGGCTTCTTGGTCCTCTTTGATAGTTTATTGATACTTTGGGCATGCATTTTTGTAAGCAGGACCAATCAAGGCAAGCAATTTTCAAGCGAGACACTGAGTTCTACATTTTGTTCATTCTCTCAGAAATAAAGATTGGCTTTGAAAAAGCAAACATTTTACAACATACTGGCTAAAAGCTTTTTCGTCTGACACTCCTCAGAGCATAAAACGTCAGGATAAGGATCCGAAAGAACACGATGGAAAATATATACCCAGTTGTGGATCGAAATAGGCCAATCAGATAAACGCAAGCACAAGACCGGTATAGTTGACCAATCAGTGCCGCGTGACTAAAGAAAAATTACCACTGGCGTCCAAGAGAGAAAACGAACTCCTTCTGTCTACACAATGACGGCCTTTTCGTTTGTATGTAGATCGATTCCAAAACTGCTAGATGGAAGGACGACCGGACTCTGTCAATTATCCGAAACAAGTCGTCATTAAAGAGTTTGCACAGTCTGGGTTGTCTAAAAGATGACCCAGATTGTATGTAGGTATTTCGATCCACAACTGGGTATATATTTTTCATCGTGTTCTTTCGGACCCTTATTCTGATATTTTATGCTCTGAGGAGTGTCAAATGAAAAAGCTTTTAGCCAATATGTTGTAAAATGTTTGGTTTTTCTCAAAGCCATTTTCAAGTTCTGTACCGCCAGAAAATTGTTCACAGAAATAAAGATTGTTATGAACTCGTAGGTCCTTTTAAAGTATTCTTGAAGTCTCATTTTACAATCGTAAAAGTTTTTATAAGAGTATTGGCTAGTTTTTACTAGACCTGACATCTATTTGCAACCCTCATGTTTCATTAGTTTCTTCAGAAACTTCGTCAGCTTATTTCAGATCAATAGTGTTATTGTGAAATATTAGTCAAGTTTATTTCGCTGCTCAATCTAAACGGTTTTCTTTGGTTTTCCGAAATGACCAAATTAAATTTATAAATCTGCTGTTATGATCCGTATTTTTTAATCCTTCCATACTTAAGGTAAATTATTGCTCTTTTTATTACTTTACTGAAGATGTCTCTAGCTAGAGTCGAAACGTATTAATTGATTTCTGTCTACTGATTATGTCAAACTGATTTTGTTACACTTGGATTTGTAACTGAAATGTCATACTGGATTTGTAAATTTTAAAATTGATTATTCGTTCAGCTCAATTGGATTAAAAATGTCTCTTTGTCGCCGTAATGGTCAACTTATTGATTAATCTCCTGTTTTTTATATGAATGTGTTTGCAGAGCTGCCTAGAACAGTAAAATTAAGGCATTAAAGTTTAACATATAATTTTTGTACTTAAATTATGATACGCTTTTGTCATAATTGACATAAGCATGTAACTTCGCATCTGTCTGAAAAATATCTAGAATCCTTGACAAAAGTCCTTGGAACACCCTGCGGCCAATGAAAGATTTTGATGAAATCTTTCATCAAATATTTATTTCTAAAGAAATATAAGTTTCCGGCCGTAAGATACAGAAATATCCCCCCTTCCCCTCCAAAACAATGTTGGTTGTAAAGCCTAGTACTTATCCTAGCTGACAGAGTTATTTTAGTTGAATTTCAAGCTTTGAAACTGTTGTTATTCAACATTGTTTCAAGGGGGATAGGGCGATGCTAATGAAGTTATGCGATATTTTAGGTTAATGTATCAAGACTTTTGGCAAGGATTGTATAATTGAAGCAAATTTTAAAAAAAATGTTTTGGGAAAACATAGCTGCAAGAAGTGGTCATCAAGACTAGTTGAGTACCCTAAATTTCCTGTTCGCGCTCATTTTTAGCCCATCAAAAATGAGGAAGGCTTCATAGTGAGATTTTGTTGGCTGGATAAATGTTGACAACTTTTCAGGACGCTGCTTAAGAATTAGTTAGAACAGTCTTCCCTAATTTTTTTAGGAGGATGATGAATTCACAAAATCAGAATGTTTTCATTATTTCCATGGCGCTTGCATGGCTAGTTACGTGACGTCATGTACCGCTGAGCAAAAGGAGGATACTGATAAAGTGGCTAGGGAGAAATCAAAACACAGTGAACATTTCGTAAGTAATTTTAACATATCTGTCCTTGAATCTCCTTTCAAGGTTTTTCTATAGCAAATATGAAGTTATTTTCCAGTTAAGTTTATGTAAACAATTTCGTTTTGAATAAACTTTCATCTATATTGTATTTTTCCTTACCATTTTTCTTTTTTTGTTTACTTTTTATTGCTTTTATTATCATCATCATAAGATTTTGGGAATCCGGCTGACTCCCTATTTAGCATTTTTATTAAGCATACAATATTTTAAAGGATTTGTTCTTCAATGTTATTTGAATAAGATAATACACAGCCTAGCATCTTTTCATTACTTTCAAGATACCTTGTCCTATATGCCGTGCAGATATTGACACTAGAAACTTGAAAACCGATTCTCCTGATTCAAAATCAAAAGATAACGAAGAGGTACCTTTTTATCCTCATCTTCATTTTCCTCTGATATTTAGCTTTTCTCTATGCTTGGATGCTACTACCCTTAAAAGGTATCTAATAAAGCACGCTATATTAAAACTATTTACTATAACTGCTACACATAGCATATAGTTGTCCTTAAAAAGATATTGTTTGATCTCAGAATTGTTGAAAGGGAAGCAACGGTCAAGTTGTGTTCAATTTTCTCTGAACTCAACAGTTTTCATAAAGTGCAAGTACGATCTAATATAGAATATTTTTTTTATAGAACCAAGTGACCCTTCTATCAAGTGTTCTTCGTAAGGAGGACTCCGGTTTAACTTTTATTTCATCAACGATTAACTTCGAGATGAATTTGCCAAGTGTATTTTTCATTAAAACTAATTTTTGGATTCAGGCTGATTCAGAGGCATTAGGGCTTATAGGGTCATTATAATGATGATCAAATATTTTGCGCAATCTGTATTAGGAATCACTCAAGCCTTCCTTTATCGTCCTGTTGTACAATCTAGCAGCAAGAAGAGTGAATTTAACGACCATCTTCTTTATAGATCGTTTTTCAGCCATCTGAAAAATTCCTTTCCTGGAGGAAGCAGATGAGAAAAATATTCTTACGACAGCAGAAACGCGGTGGGATAATTGATGTTGAAGCAGAGAAAAACAAATTCTTGATTGCCACCAAGGTACTGTTGCTATTCAACTACAATTCTGTTCGATTGTGATGCTCTGAGTTTGATGAATCAGAAGTAGTAGATATTCATATAGCTTTAATCTCTGGTCTCAGGATTCCATTTCCGCTTATATGAAGCTTTCTCGTAATCTGATTTTTTTACTGTGAAATAAGCGAAGTATTTTAACAGTTTTCCTAAAACAGTAACTTCAGCCACCTAACCCAGATCAAGCCCTGTTTTCTTTGGCTTCCTTTTTTCTTTGGCTTCCTATTTCCTTTGGCTTCCTATTTTCTTTGGCTTCCTTTTTCCTTTGGCTTCCTATTTTCTTTGGCTTCCTTTTTTCTTTGGCTTCCTTTTTTCTTTGGCTTCCTATTTTCTTTGGCTTCCTATTTTCTTTGGCTTTCTGCCTTAAAGTTTCAAAGAGTTTGCTATTTTGCTATTGAGAACGATGAGCACCTTCTGCATTTGTATTTAGGACCTGGTTTAATCAAGACATAACGAGTTTCTCAACTTCATTTTTTAATCTTTGCTAATTATTTCTGAGAGACATTTATGGCCTTCTAGAAAACAGAGGAAAAGACAGTACCTGAAGAGACAATTCAAGATAACAACTGGACTTCGGGGAATGGAACACAAATTTTAATGAACATTGATCATTGGACTAATGATAGAGTTGAAAGGAAGACTTTAGATACAACACAGGCAAGATCGTCGGGTGGAAAAATTGTAAGTGGGTGTAATAGAAACAATGCTGACTCTATACGCAAACCAAGCAACAGAAATGTAACAGGAAAAGGACCATGTAGGAGCTCGTCACAGGATAGATCTTTCGAAAAAGACAGCACAAGGACGAAAAAGCATGATTCTCTTTATAACGAAAGATTAAAATGCAGTGACGGTAGTGTAGCGCGAAATGAACAGTTTAAAAGGCATGGCCAAGTTAAAAGTCGGGTACTATCCTCTGGCCAACCAGAAGCAAAAAGTACAAAATCGCAAGATAGTTTTCCAAATTCTGGGCGAAAAAAAACTGTTAAGCCACCACCCGGATTCAAGCCGATAGATTAGTATTTTCTTATTCTGAATCGTCAAATGCACGTATTTGTTTGTTCAGGGTAGGGAAATGGTGCTTTTATTTCGAAAAGTTGCTTTTTAGTAAAGAGAAATAGAACAATGTTTTTCATTAAAGATTCACTAGAGCCTTAGGCAATCTTTTCATTAATTAAATCATTGGCCTTTTTATACACCATTTTATTTTATCCTACTCTCAAAAATTTATTTAGGATGTTTTTGTGGTCCAAATCAGTGGGTGTTACATTGATATTTTCATAGAATGTTGGTAAACAATAGTTTTCATATTAATATTTTTTATGATTTTGTTAAACTGGTTCCTCTCAGGCCGTTATAATTTCATCGTTTTTTGAATGAATGGTCGAACAATTGCCTCCGTTAATTTTTCCTCAAAAGCAGAAAGAAGTTCCTGTCAAGGCAAGGTTTGCTCTCAAGTAGAAAGGCAGAATTTCCTTTAGAACAGCTTATTGTAACTAATGCCGAGACTTGATATGCAAACTGCTTTGCGGAGAGTGAATTACTTTCTATGTATAATTTCTCGGCTATAAATTTCCTGTCATTTCTATTTGGTATGTACATTGTCATATATGATTTAACGTATTATAACCTGTTCCTGTAATAATTTGCGAGGTTCAAAGTTATAAAAAAGCAATGAGAGATGATTGGTAAATGTTGAAACGAATCACAAGTCTCTAAAAGTTTCCTGGATTCATTTTAACGCAACCTTTTGATGTCTGGTTCTGGATGTCAAGGAATACAGCACGGCAGTTGTTCTAAGAAATTCATTTAAAGCTTTATGTCGTGTCTTGTAAAAACTGCAAACTACCGATCAGGACATTGTGAGACGTTTTATGAAAGCAAGTTAAAGTTGTTTGTTTATGTTCATGTTTTTCTGTTGAAATATGATAATATAGCTTTCAGAGCTTCCATAGTCAAATTCCGCTTGTTTCCAAGTTTTGTTCAGATACAAATTGATTTTCAAATTGTCATAAATATGCAATAACTTATAAGAATCTGTGCTTCGTGGGAACGCTTTCATAAACGTGCTTTAAAACATTTTCACGTGAGAAGTACCCAATTGATGCCATTGGATAATTTGATTTCGTGTAAGTCAGTTAATGTATATTTCATAAATTTTACTGGTATCGTTACACCTATGACATTACTTCTAGAAACTCCCTCAATTATTATTTGTAATTATTATTCGTTTTTCTGGCATGCAACAGGTAAATCTTGATTCTTGTGATTCACCAAGTGTGCACCAAGTTCTGGTGCCAGATAAATATTTAGGTTTTTCTTGTTCAGGACCTTTATTAAATTATGCATGCCGTACTTATGCTCAAAATCGTAAAAACCTTTAATTGATTTCTGTTGTGAAACAAATTTCAATCTGCAAGATGTCAATACCTCACAAGTAAGCTTGTCTTTTTCTTCCAGTTAACTCTTTCTTATTGCTAAAATTTAAAAATATAATCTTGATACAAAAAGTACGATGTAAAACTTTAAGTGATGTATAAGACTGACAAAAGTCACACATTTCCCTTAGATTTTCTTGCTACCTAAATATTACTTACAGAATGTTTTTCATGAACAAATATTCCATTGTAGTTTGCCTATCATTTTTCCATTATCCAAAGACCACATACCTCCTTTTTAAGTTTCAAATATCACTGTATTTGGAATTGAAAAAGATGGAGTTTGTTTTGCAGTCAACTGGAAACATATATTCTGTTTGTTTTTCCAGTTAATTTGATATGAATGATCAAATATAACTTTAAACTGCCCAATTACGTTCCAATCCAATATTTACATAATAATATAAAGTAATTCGTGCGAGTTTGTCTTTAAATTTGATATATCTGGCTAATGTACCATTGTTGAACCAGACCCTCTGGAAATTGTTGAAAGTGTCTAATATATATTGGTGCCTTCAGTGCAGGGGTACACCACAAATTCTAAGTGTTTTCTTTTCATTAACAGTTCCATGCACGCTTTTTCTTAGTTTTACCATCTATAGAATTTGAAGGCCTTGTTGTTGACGTATCCATATTTAACATATATTTTAACCAACCAAAAGAGCCTACTGACTCCAATAGAACATCCCAAAATATACAGTTTGCCCCAAAGACAAATCACCAGCAGGCTAGCAGGGCTGAGTACCTCAAAGCCAAGTTTTCATTCATAATGCCTAAAAAGCCAGGCCTTTATTTAATAAGAGGTACATGTTTCTCATTACTTCATGAAGTATATACGAAACGTATTTCTTTTCAGAGAAATTTTTCTATGTTTGGCATTGCCTGTTTTAATGTTTGGAGTGGACGGCCTAATCTTAAGACTGCCATGTCAGACAGAAGCATATTTCACCGTGACAATGGCTTGGAGGTATCTTCAGGATGCCTTGCTTCTGTCACTCCCAAATGCTACAGTACCTGAGTGTACCAAGAGCTGTGTACAGCACCCGAAATGCAAATCCATTAACATGAAAAGCGATAACACGGGCTGCGAACTGAATTCAAAACATCATGATATGCTGGGCATTTCAATGATTACAACAGCAGGGTGGACCTATGTGTCAACTGATTACCAGTCATTGAAGGTACCTGTTAATATTTATCATTTTTTATGTGCAATAATGATGTTAGCTCAGCTAGAAGCATTAGTCCTTGAAATATCTTGCAACGTAGATGATTGTCTCCCTGGGGAGATGAAGCAGCGTTTGTTAGAAGGTCCATTGGCTTTCAAAACTTTGCATTATATTGCGTAGTCAAAATCGATGACGTTGTTTTTAAATGTATCGAATCTAAAGACGAAGAAAACTTAGAGAAGCATTGGCATTGTCATGAAAACAGCTAGAATGAAACTCAGGTCTATTTGATGCAACCTGGTATATAATAATTAGGATAAATGAAGCGCCATCCGGTAGCTAAATCCTAACAACCGGTGTCTGTGTTGTTAAAAAACAATAAAGGGATCCACTTTAGACCCTAAAAGTGGGAAGAAATATTTTTAGGACCAAACTCTATCTAACCGTGGCTGCTCTGTTACCTAAGGTTAATATACTGAAAAGTTTCATTCTCATTTGATCATCATTTGCCTTGTATCACAAATACCTATTTAATACACAGATTGGCCTGACATGCAGATCAGCCTCGTTTTGCCCACCAAATGTCCTTTGCAGAGACACCTGTGATCCTCCATATTATGAGTGTGTTCAGTGTGATGCGTTCCATGAAGGGCTACACTGTGACAGACGTAAAGGTATGCTCTGTGTGACAAATGCAATGGCTTCCGTTATCATTAATATCATGTTTAATTTTTGCAGTTCTTTGGCGACACATTATGAACTTGGCCATAACCAATGCTCAAACTAGAACATACAATTGTAACACTCAAACTAAAGTTTTACCTCTGTTTGAACATTTTTTTCTAGATTTTGATGAATGCTTGCATTCGCCATGCCAAAACAATGGGTCGTGCACTGATCTAACGAAAGATTATCTCTGTAATTGCACTCCTGGCTATACCGGCAAAAGTTGTGAGACAGGTATGTAAAACAGTCCTCTTTTATCTAGCAATAAGTGGAGTGCTCATTCATTTTATAGCAGATCTCATACACATATAAATCTCAGAATATGTAACACCGGAAGAAACTGGAACTTTGATTCGTTTTGTCATGGCCAGTGACACCATAGCCTTCTTTATGATGGGGGAAGAGGATGTTCGTCAGATATGCCTTCTCAGATACGTTCGTGAGTTTCAAGAATGTTTAATGCTTGGAAGCTACTATACAGACATTGCTGGATATCTTCATCAGTGTTAGGATAATATTCTATACTTCTGCTAATATCATGTTTGAATGTCTTATGTTTCAGAAATCAATGAATGTTTGAGTTATCCATGCTTAAACCATGGTCATTGTATTGACCTCGTGAATGGATACAGTTGCATTTGCTTGCCTGGCACTACAGGGAATCATTGTGAAACTAGTAAGTATCTCTCTCATATTTTGAAACTTAGTACTACCAACGTACTGAGCATAGTGTATGATAAAATAAGCTACTAGTAAGCTTGTATGTTTTTTTAATTGGTAAACCGAAGTGGCCGCTGTCTTCATAGGCTTTGTTTTTATGAGGAAAAGAAGTCTGATTTATTTCAGTCAGAAAAACTAGCAGCTAGAAAACTTTTACTATTTATAGATTTTTAGAAAAGAAGATGATGATGCAGTGGCTTAAAAAAGGCATTTGGGGCCACTTGGGATTTTTCAGCTCTGACTGCCCCCCCCCCCCCCCCCCCCCCCCGTGCAGGAACATTAGTAAAATATCATAAACATTAAAAAAATTGGTAAAACAGTATAGACAGAGCATGAAATACAACTCAACAGATTTTCCAATCTTTTAGATTTAAGGTCAATATACCAAACAGGCTTGGGGTCCTTTGAACTCGATTATCATATCGAGAATACCAGCTTCAAAGTAAAATGATATAGACAAATTTTTGCTTGGGGCAGCTAGGGGCCGCTAAAGGTTCAGGGCCCATAGTTTTTTAGCTAAATGTAACTTTAGTCCGTTACGCCACTATGGTGATGAATGATTGCTGATTTTGGTATAAGTTTGCTTTTTATCATATTTCTTTTGTTTATGTGTAATAATTGTTGCATTCTAGACATTGATGATTGTGCGAGTGGACCTTGCCAGAATGGGGGCACCTGTAATGATGGGTTGAACAAGTATAACTGCACTTGCGCAGGTGGCTTTAGTGGCAAGCATTGCGAACAAGGTAAATTTGATTTGAAATTCTCTAGTCCTACTTTATTATGTCATCTTTTGCTTCAGGCTCCCTGATATTGTGGCTCCAACCTAAGCTTCGTTATGCTAGAAGTGAAGTATTTGATAGTGACAAAAATAATCACCATTTCAGACTCCCTTTCTTGGTCTCACTTTCCTTTTGCCTTCCATTCGGAGCCAAATACGAAGACATTTGAACATGCCCTAGTTTGAAGTTATGGCCATGTATCTTTTACATATAAAGAGTACAGGGACAGTTCGTTTCTTGCTTCATTTCAAACCGTTTAGTTTAGATAAGCGGAAAATTCAATTTGCTTTCACAGATAAATATAAAATTTCCCTAATACTTCTGTTACTAGATATTGACGAGTGTGCCAGCAGCCCTTGTTTGAATGGAGGAGACTGCACCAATCTTATTAACCAATATACCTGCACTTGTGGAACTAACTACAGAGGCACGAACTGCGGGAGGTGTAAGTATCTTTCAACTGCATCATAATGTAGACATTGTCAAGACAGTACGTCCTGATGAATTCATCAATGCAAACACGGCCCCAGTCGCAGTGCCAGCTTCTAGGCTGTGCGGAAGATAAAATAACAATTTTTAGGCCTTGTCCTATTAGCTGTGAGCAAGCTGGCTCTACGAACAGGGAGCGCCAAATTTACCAACTGGGAATGCCCATGGCGAATTTTTGGTTACGTACCGGCAGTTTAAGGAATCATTGCCAAAACATTCCCCCTCCGCCAACAATTTGTCATCTAATTTAGACAAAAAACCAAATCTGTCCTGCTGAAAGCTTGGGGGCGCCTCCATTTCAAACGCATCTAAAAGAATTGCAATGCTTGGTTAAAATTCAATGCAACCTGGTGCCAGAAATAAAAAGATCAATATTTTTCAACAAATCAAATATTAATGAACTTCCTATCTTAATGAACAAATCTAGAAAAATTCAAGTTCGCAAAGCAAAACAGCTAATAGGCCAAACGTTAAGAAAGCCTCTTTTAGATTAATTAGGTCGTTTCGAGATTTCTTGTTTGTTTATCGTATTGGTTAAGTCTTGAAATAAGCTAACTTTTTGATTTCGTCTCTGGCTTTCAGTAAAAAGGGAGGAAGAAGAAGACTGATATCTGTAATCTTCGAAACACAGGATGGTTAATGGCCATGAGAGTCATCAGATACTGGAAAGACATCTTCCATGTAATCTTGCACCTTTTTGCGGTCTTTTTACTTTCTTTACATTTTCCTCACAATTACACTATTATTCACTATTACTTTTGAGACAAAATCGATTACGCTGTGCGGAACTTAATTAATTTGAGGCTAATTTCATTACACTGACACTTAATTCTGTGTGTTTTTTAAAGTGAAACATAACAGACTTATAAGCATTCTTTAAATAAAAGCATTGATAAGCATTGGCATTCAAAAGCTACACTGTCGTATGTCGAAAGAAATCAACGAGCTTTAGATTTAAGTGCTGCTCAATTTCGCTGTCATTTTTTCATTCATGTCTACTGTTCATCTAATAAGGCATTCGCTGTAAGGAATTTTGAGGCATTCGGTAATATTTTTGCAATACACCAATTTGCTTATCGAGTACCGTGGGGAGCATAGGCGTCAGATCTTGATTGGCTGCGAAAGGAATCGCCAAAGAAGTCCCCATTAATTGAAAGCAAACAAATTGATATTTGATTGGTTCAAGTCGATGGGACTCCCACTTTGGCAATTCCTTTCGCAGCTAATCAAGATATGACTCCTATGCTACCCAATAAAACTAGAAAGAGGGACACTAGTAGTCTTTGGGACTCTGAATACAATAGTTACTCTCTTTTACAACTGCAACTATTAGCAGCGTTGGGAAATTTGGAGGTTGTTGTGCTAAAAATCGAAAAAAATTTTGTTGAAAAACTTCACCTTTCGATGAGACAAGGGCTGCCCTTTTTTGAAGTTGTCTTGTTGTGAATTACTGAAATGGTTAGGGTCATTGCTTGATGATGGGCAAACATTGGTCTGAATTTCAGCTGATAATGCAAGACTTAAACTCAATCTTCAATATGCTATTATTTATAGAGCCACATGATGGTATCGCGTAGGAGTGTCACATCGTGTTGGAACAAGGGTCTGTCGGCGATTCACTGCTGTTCTGGAAAATCTAATAAATCTGCGCTTTACAGAATTAGCTCTAAGGCCACATCGACAGAAAACATACCACACCCATCTTATCGGCGAATTTCTTATCTTACATCTTCCTGAACAAATTCAGTCGCGACGGCCCTGATCTTTTTATGTCAACTTTTTGGCGTCCATGATGAATGGCTCAAGAAGATCTTTCCAAGAAGCCGTTTTTCTCCACCCAGAGCTTTTAATCGCAGTATCATCTATACATCTGGATTTATCCTGCCTGAACCATAAGCTTGCGCACAAAAAAAGGTGGGGTATCTCAATTCGAGTCCTAGATACGGCTTAGTTGAAAAACAAAATTCCAGGCAAATTCCTATATGTACTCCTCTCTTGCTCCAAAGCAATTATTGAATCAGAGCAGTTTCATATGTTAATCGATCATTTAAAAACAAAATATACAGTAGGCTGGAAAATTGAAGGTATCGCAAGAAAGAAGTGACATTTTGTTGTATTATTTGAAAGGGAATGTTGTCACTTGTCTCTGTTACTTGGTTCCTTGCACAGCCTCAGTTACACGACTGCAAAGCGAGCCTAGACAGATGTTTGTTTATTGTTTTTGTGATACGTGAGAAAAGTAGCCTCTCTGTTTGTCCTCAACCTAAACCCTGTTGCAGCGGTTATCAGTATTTAGACGCTGCTTGAGAATCGAATAAACTTCTTGCTCAGAACAATCGTATTACTCTAGTTTTCGAGTTTCAACTCTTTTTCAAGAAAGTTTAATACTTATTTAAAGAAGAACATTATAATAGAGGCAGCCATACCCCATTTCTAAAAACCGTGTCACAACCGCACATGCCTTGTACTGTTTCCATGAAGGAAAGAGTCTGTTGAAAACAATAGAAAGCGTCCATCTTTGCTAGTTTTTGAGACATGTCTAAGAATATAAGGTCAAGCTATGAATAGCACTGTATAGCCTGTACATTCTTAATTTGGTAAATGAATAAAGGCAGAAAGAGCATTGGTATACCGCCTAAGATCTCTATCTCCCTTGATTGCATTCTCACCTTTATTGCATTACACCTATACAATTGATGTAAAAATAAATCAATTTAGTGCAGAATGAATAGGTTTACCAAAGTTTGAATTTGTAACAAATGCAAAACTGCTTGCAAGTTTGTATACCAATTACAATGTTTATTACCCAACCCTATATGGTGCTGCAGCCATCGATATATCTTTTCTAAACTTCTTCTTTACTTCACCAGGAGTCATTGTTGTCTCTTGAATCACAAAGTTCTCTTTGGCCAGGCCCTTCTGGTAAAGCACGTGACTAACAAACAACCTCAACTCGCATGCCCACATGCTCTCGCTGTTATTCCATTCTGGGTAAATGTAAATCTCTGTCCTAAAGTTCTTTGCTCTCAGTTTAGGCTTTATCGAAACTCGACTCTCAAACGATACGCTCGGAGGTGGTATGCTAATTTCTGAAAAATGCACAATCTTTTCAACATCGAAGTATGACTTACGTCGCTCCATTTGATACAAAATTACCTTTTTCAATGTCTTTCCTTTTGCCAAGTTTTCAACAAGTTCCACCAAATAAAGTTGGTTTCACAAAACAGCAACCTCTTTCACTCTTCTCTTTCCGAAGTGCAACAGATGTTTAAGTTTTTAGTTCATAAACCTATTGAGTCGCAAAACCCATTGGCCTTATCAGATTAATATGTAAAGTCTGGGGGTTACGCTAAATTTTATTCAAAATGCAAATTAAAGTACCTTTGTAATTTTATTGAGTCTCTATTTCAAGACAACATAATCCTTCTTAACTGATACGTGACAGAAAGACTGATCTAGGTCAGTTTATTCGCTGAATGCTTTTTTGCACGCTTAATTTCTCTGATGATCTTGTCTGTTCTTTTTAAGTCTCTTAAGATTGGAAGGAATCTTACGAGTACTGAAGCTTATTTGATCTATTTGATTTTAATATTTTTAGGGGCTTTTTAAGAAGCCCCAGAGCCAGTACCAGTACAAATTACAACCCCTTCTTCACGCGTTGCATGGCGCTGTAATCAAGACAAGCTCCCATTGGTCGTGAAAGTTCTCAGAAATCAGTGAAATTTATCATGTTAACAAGATGGCCTGGAAAATGTATATGCCAATTGCAAAATATTATCTGCATTTGCAATTTTATTTATACAAACAATTATACAAATAGACACATATAGACAGACATTGATATAGAAATAAGTACATTCAAAACTACCTAAAAAAGCAGATTTGCAAATTAGAACGGTCTTATTGTTCACATCAAAGCGTTAAGTCAAACTCATACATTTATGTGCAATTTACCCTCTTCATCAGTCACAGTCATAAATTTGAATAACCACGTAAGATTGAGCAAGAGTATTTTTTTTTAAAGTAGTACATATTTATAAAAAAGCAACCCACCAAAAATGTTGTGTAGTAGTAATTTAAAGGCTGTTAATATGTCTGGCCTTACTTTATTTTTTCATCGTCATTTCGGATGCCCAACTGGGCGCTAGATAATCCTGATCTGGATCCAATTCCAAAATGTAACAAGGATTCCAGACTCCATCTGAAATCATTCTTGTTGCCTTTGAGAAGGAGGAAAGCATTCAATACCAACTCAGCAATATCACTTGAAAAGAAAAACAAGGTTAAGGATAAAGGTTGTTACACAACGAAAACCTAACTATAGATTTTCATGTAAGCGTCCTGGCTTTTTTCAAGTAACAATAAATTGTAACCCTTCGCTGGTAGAAACTCGTATATGAAAACTTGCGTTTTTCTGTTTAGGCTATCCATGTACATATTGCATTAGAATCTTTAATAATTTGAGGTTCAATTAATGCTTATTTTCTCCAATTGTACTTAAAAGTAGTCTTTAAAAATAGTTTCTGTTTGTAGGTTTTTACAGTATTGCTGTGAGCAGCTTCTCGTTACAAGGAGTCTCGCCCTGGGGTTTTTTCTTTATAAGATATCCTATAACCTCTTGCTACTTTTTAACGTACTCTCTACTTATTAATCATACCAGATTTCCCCCCTTGGTCCTACTACATATAACGGATTGCGGTGAATTCATCCTGGTTGTCTTCTTTAGATAGATGTGCCGCAAAACTAGCGTAATTCATTTACAAGCTTTATGGGCAATCCTTTCGATTTTAATACAAATATACTTTGCCGATGGGAGATTTGACAATGTTAAAATTCCCTCTGCCTTAGCGCATGAACCAAAAAGTAAAGCATAATACTCCAATTACATTGGACTAATTGTATTGTACCGCTTAATTTACTCTTGAAATAGAATAAGTCAAGCCTGGTCGAATCTTAACTGCCACTGAAAATTGCAAGTCATTTACCTCAGCCAAAGTGAAATATATCACCGCAAGGAATTGAGGATTTCCCATCTAATTCTTGCTCCAAAGTGTAGGCAAATCTACTCCTGTCTAAGATGCTAAAAAAAACCGATACCAGAAGAAATTAATAAATACGAGAATATACCGGATACCAGAATATACCGGAATGTACCGGAATGCACCGGAATGTACCGGAATATATCTTTGTTTACAACTCAATGACTTGTGATACACAAATAGAAACCTGGTCATATGAGCCTTTCTTCCAAATAACAACCTCTTTACCCTCTTGGTCTACAATACTGACTGAGTATAAGAATTAACTGTTATACTAAGTATATTAGGAGCTGCATATTCTTCCTTGAGCAGCACTATGAGTAAACTTGGTCGTTAAAACGGAATATACAATGCTGAATACCTTACATTCATGAACCTCTACACATTTAATTAATTTTGATAAGAGATAGTCGTTATTCCGGGGTGTGATACACTAAATGACATTATTTGCACTATCACTGATTAGAGCCAAAAACACATAAGGTCAGATGGGAAAATTTAGCCCCGCCTTGTTTTATTGTTATTCTGAGAACTGTCAGAGCTTAAGTATATTGTAAGGAGAAAGGATAAACTATTTTCTAGACTCTGTCACTAATCTTTTTCAAATGGATGTCTTCTACCGTGGAGCCTCCATATAACAAAAACCGTCCGGACCAGTGTAACTGTCCGTTGTATAGATTTGTGCATTGTACAGAGAAACCTTTAAAGCGTATAGACCATCTGGGACAAAAACATCTGTCCGTTGTTGAGAGGTGGCCATTGTATAGAGGTGTCCAATAATTGAGGTTCTACTGTAGTTATTGAAACCTTTAACTGAATGTGGCAGAGCCAGTGCACTTGAAATTTGAAACAGAATTATTAATTATTTCATACCCTATCTTCCTTTTTTCTATTCAAAATAAACAGCGTTTCTTTTGGCGCACTTGTGTTTGATGGAAATCCGAGCAGCTTACTCGGCAACTCTTTCACTGTTTGGCAATTGCTCCGTGGAAAAAGCACCTGGCAGGCATATAAAAGCCAGATTTTAGTGCTCAATTCTTCACCCTTTCTATGTAAGGATGTTCAGATATTAGGTTAAGAAATAAATCCCGTTTGATTTTTTCCGGATCCCTAAAGTGCTTGTTCCATCTAAAA